TAGACCCTAACCTTGTCTTTGGGGAATCTTCTACACCTAAGGATGAAGGCACTGCTATGATGGACCTCATGTGTGAATGGCGAACATCTCTGGTGGAAGACCACATCCTTGAGGTAATGCCTTCTTCTCCTTCTGTACATATTCCAACAGAACCCCTCATTCCCGTTTCCCCCAAATCCCCTTCTGTGCAAAAACTCCCAACACCACAACAGAGCACCTCCTCACCTCAACAGAAACCCCCATCTGCACAGAGAACCCCCACTCCCCAAAAATCCCCCACCCCCAAATCTAAACCCTCCTCACCCTGCAAACAGTTTACCCCAACAAAGAACAGATCCCCTTCTCCTCCCCCATCTCCTCAACGCCAAATTATTCTAACCCAACCTCAACAGATCATCCCTTCATCTCAACCATCTCAACAGAAATTTCCTACACCTCAAAAGTCTGAGCACCAGAATACCAAACAGGTTTCTCTTCCACCACAGCAACCCCCAACTCAGCAAAAACCAGTCCGGTTTCTGAGAACCTCTAATCCTACAATCGTCTCCCCTGTTTCTGCACCTCAAGGCTATTCTAGTTATTCTACTGCCTCCAATCCCTCTTTTCGCAGAAAGAAAAAGGTGATCCGAAACAGAATCCCAATTTACTCCTCCTATGAGGACTCCTCTGACATGGAGGGATTCATCATCAGCAAGTCCAACCAAGCTACCTCCAAGAGACAGAAGACCCCCCTCTGACTCAACTCGAGCATGAAATGCATGTACAATCTCTCTCCTCTGTCCAAGAACATCACCCTTTGCCTAAGGGAAGAGGCTTACAGATGCCTAACTCTGCTGGACAAGAGAATCAGATTCCTTTCAACGAGTTTGTGGCTGCAGCAGAAGACTTTGGTGGACAAATGCTGGAAGGAATGAACAAGCTTGTGCTGATCAATGATAAACATTTCGAACAGCTGACCCAAGTAGATGCAATATTTGAATCTAGTTTCAAGCATCTATCAGATACTCTAGCAACCTCCCTGCAGAACTTCATGAACTCATCCAATGCAAAGGTTGATGCCATCTCAAATGAAGTGGTCAATGTCAAGACAGTTCTATCTGTCATGAATCAAACTCTCAACTCTCAGCATACCTCTATTACAAACCTCACTCAAGCTGTTCAATCACTACAGAGGTCTGATATCCAACTCCAAGAGAACCTCAAGAATCTTCACACTCTCTACAAGGAACACTCTGACCAAGGCAAGTTACTTCTGGCTGTTGACAAAGACAGGTATCAGAAAATGGTACTTTTGGAAGCCAGTAACAAAGATATCCTCTCTGCCATTCAGAAGCAGCAAGGATTAATAGAGGGACTGACCTCTGTTACTCAAACTCTGCCAGAAACGCTTGAACAAATTGCTTCTACTCAAGCGTCAGAGTTCCAGAAGCTTTCCTTGATGATTGGCGATCTGGATGATGCCAAAAAGGGGGAAGAAGACCCTCATCACCCTAAGCCTCGCCATACCAGGACTTCTGTCAGAGCATCCTCTTCTGCTGACCCAATTATTGATCCTGCACCATATTTTGAAGCTGCCATTCAGAAGAAGAGGCTAGCCGGCATTCAGAGACCCCATCTCCTCTCAGGAAGGGCACCAAGAAGAAGAAGGCTTTGAACTTCAGAGAATGGAGATTGGGTGGCTCTCAAAAAATTGATAAAACTCAGTTTGAGGAAATGAAGGAGAAGATGACCCCAATGCAGCAGCAGAACCTATATCTTGACAGAGATGGTCCGGTGAAGGTCAGACATGGTGGCTCCTTAGAAGAAGCTGAGTTTTGGTACCTCAACAAAATTCTCCCCGGAAAGGACATTCATGAAGGTGTTCTCAGCTATCTGGATTGCAAGTTCTCACCTATCTGGGTCTCACATCAGAGCTCTCGGAATCTTGTAGGAATTAGAGAAGCTTCAATGCTGAGCTAAAGAGATTACAAGAACTGGAAGATCAAGCCTTAGCTGCAGTTGAAGGGGAGAATTTGTAAAGGAATATCCTTGTAAACCTTTATCTTAATAAAAGAACATCTATGCCTTTCAATCTGTAAGTCAATTTCTCCTTATCTATTCTTTACCGTCTGCTTTGTATGTCTATTATGTTTATCTTGTTTTGTTATCTACTATCTGAATGTACTGTACTCTTACTATTTTCCTATGCCAAGTTGCCCACCAAGATTTTAATGAAAGTTTTAAACTTTAACTCTTTTATGGTGAAGGCACTTCTCTGGAAATAGTTAAAGGGTTTTGGCATCATCAAAAAGGGGGAAATTGTAAGGAATAATTGTAATTAGATTTTGATGATGCTATATTAATTAGGACATTAGAGTACCCCTTCTTTAGATTTAATGTATTAGAAATTTTTCCTTGTAAAGTTTCTTAGAGTAGCCGACTTGCAGAAGACCTCCTGACAGAAGACCCTCTGATAGGCGTTGTCTAACAGAGAACCTTTGGCTCTCTGCTTCAGAACAGAAGACCTCTGGGTCTTTGTTAGCTTTTACACGGACAGAAACTCTCCTAGTTCTATGTTGAACATTTCTTCAACAGAAACCCTCAAGACTCTCTGATAGCCTTTTCCAACAGAAGTGCTCAAAACCTTCTCTGGTCGACTCTCTGCTGAAGACACCAGAAGGCCTGACACTTAGAGAATTTTACCAAGCTGGTAAACCAACTGAAGACTTCTTCAACGACTAGGAATCTTGAACGGAAAAGCTACAGTACGTGCATTAAATGCATATTTAATGACCTCCCGTACTCTGTAGAGTAAATGCAGATGATTGGCCTCTATGTCAGGATAACTCTATCCCAAAATAGTAACCCGCCAACTTTGTTGGGGTCTACTGATCAAGTCAACTGCTCACACATTTAATGCAGTTGTCCTCCTCCTCTAACGGGAAGACAACCTCAGTATAAAAGATACATTACGAAGAACAACCAAAAAATACAGCTTTGCTACAACAGTACGAATACAAAGACATTCAAACACTCAAACGCACAAGCCTCCTTGAGATCAAATCCTTATCATCCTCTACAAGAGAAGGCAGACGTTGGAAAGATTCTTATTTCCAACTCAAGAAAAGTTCCATTCGTTCTTCAAAACTTCAAGCACATCAACAAAAACATCTTTTGTAACGAAGCAAGTTGGAGGAACCCCTGTTTCATCTAGAAACTCTTCTTTAACGAGAAGGACGTCCAAGTAACTGGAGCAGTGAAGTGGTGATACTTCCGGGAAGCTCAACGAAAGGACCAGTCTTAAAGGAAGCAAGGAAGTGCATCCCAGGAGACATCTAGACTTGAAGAAGACGTGGAGATCTTCTTAAGTGATAGGACTAAGGCGTTGTAAACAGACGTTTTTACAAGCTTAGTGGAACAGTGGATTAGAGGAACGAGTTGTTCCTTGAACCACTATAAAAATCCCTGGTGTCATCTACTTACTGCATTTATTTATCAAACTTAGTTAGAACTGATTAACTCCAAAGACTTGGTCTCTGTGTTCAGCAGAACGTGTCTTGTGAGTTAAGAGAAGGCCTACTGCCTTTGCTTCTCTGAGGCTAATTTGACAGAACCCCAACAGAACCCCATCCGCTGCCAGTCTGTTCTGCCAACAGAACAGGCTATTCTGTTAATTCTGGTACTTAACTTGAAAAAGTTTTAAAACCAGTACAGTCTACTCACCCCCCCCCCCCCTCTAGACTGTACCCAGTATAACCGGGACCAACAAGACCTCCGCCTGGCTGCGGCTGTGCAGGCTGCTGGAGATGACCCGCAAAGGCTTGTGCAGGATTAGACTCCTCTTGAGAGCGCATGTACTGAATACTCTGCTCCTTCTCAACTAGTTTGGTCCGAATATTTTCAAAAGTAAAGAAATCCGGAAAACAAGCCCACCGACGTGATAAGAGACTCATAATCCCGACCAAGACCAAGTAGAATATATTGGAATAGTTCCCGGTGAGACACAAGGGCATTTATGGCAGCAAGGTTATCAGCAATATCTTTAATATCAAGCAAGTAACGATCCATGGACTGGGTAGGACTCTTCTTAGAGTGGGAAAGCTGACGTTTTAATTCCATGGAACGAGCAAGACTAACATACATAAAATGTGACTCCAACCGGTTTCAAATAGCAAAAGCATTTTTTAATTCACGCACCTCAATTAACACATCACGAGACAATGTAGTAAACAACCAAGAATGCACAGTTTGATCAAGTTTCAGCCAGTTATAATAATCAGAGTTGATTGTCTCATGATGATATGCATCAAAAATATAGGGAGGGCGAGCAGGGATGGTGTGACACTCCAAAAATTTAAATAAAAATAAAATAATTTTTATTAGTCAGATAAAATATTACGAAAATAACATTTTTATAAATAATTGAGTCAGACAAAAATTCAACAGATGTGACATTTTAATCAGATAAAATTTTCAAAATTTATGACGTTTTATTCAGATAAAAATACTTCAGTAATAAGAACAACATTTTAGTAAACAAGTGAACCAGACAGAAAATTTACATTTACGACATTTTTAGTCTGATAAAAATGGTCCGATAATAGTTGTAACGTATAAAAATAATTTTATGTATAACTTTTTAAGTTGTAAAATAATACGGAGGGACTGTACACTAATACGTACGTATAATTTTTATACGTATAAATTATTAGCAAACAATATAAAAATTAAGTGTTTTAAATAAACTAAACTAACTAAGTACGTATAAAATATATATACTTCTAATATATATATAACTACATACGTAATATACTACCTACATACGTAATATAACTACATACGTAATATACTACCTACCTTGGGGTTAAACTAAACAATATATATACGTAATACGTAGTATTATAATTATACTAAACTACCTACCTTGGGGTTAGTAGTATTATACTAAACTACCTACCTTCGTGTATAGGTAGTATTATAAACTAAAAGTAGGTTACACTCCCGGTAGGTTTGTTCTTGGCCGGCAAAACAACACAACCAAAAATCGGGAGGAGCTGTTTTAATCCAACTCTAACTCTAACGCAGCCCGGAACCCTCATCTTTCTCTATAAATAGCAAGCCAGAACCTGCGTTTTCTTCACCCCAAAATCTGCGAAATATACATATATACGTATATATATATATTTTTTCGACCCACCGTTTTAGCCAGAAACAAGCCCTGAAAATACTTCTCAAACCTTCCCCTTCGTGATACGAATCCAACGGAAAAAGAATCGTCGAAAACGGTCGTGAAACGAGGGAGAAAGAGCTCGCCGGAGTTTCGCCGGGGAAAAACTTTTCAACGGAAAACGGAGAGGAGCGAGGAGCTGCCGCTGCCGCCAACCCACCACCGACATTCGCCGTCCCAAACGGAGCCAATAGCACCGTCGTTTCGCTCGTCCGACGAGGTAACACCTTCCCCCCTTAAATTCCCGTTTTTCCGGCGACTTGGTGGAGAAGACGACCCAGCCACGACCCAGCCAAGGCTGGGGTCTGACTTGGGCCTGATTTTTTTTGGGCCAGAAGAATTAAACTTGGGCCAGTTCGGCCCAGTTGCAATAAAAATTAAAAATAAAATAGTAAATGAAATAAATAAAATCTGGAAAAATATAAATTAAATACCTAGTATAAATATACATATTCGGACCAACCAGAATTGAAAAATAATATTTTTAGCTATTTTTAATTGATTTAATTGAAATTGGGCCAATTTATACACATTTAGTAAATAATTAACTAAATAACGAAAATAATTATGAAATAAATATTGGAGTAAACTAGGATAAATATATGACTAACTAGGACCTTATGGACCATTTATAATTAATAAATATTAAGATTTAGTATATTTAATTGTAATTGAACCGGTTAATAGATATATGAAATTAAAGGAATAATTATAGAAGATAATTATAAAATAGATATCTGGACAACCTAGGTCAAATATAGACCCAAAATATAGTTATAGACGGTTTTTAATTTATAAAGTCGATTTTTAGTCTATTTATTTAAATTAGGCCATATAAAACTAGTTAAGTAATTAAATAAGGAAATATTAGTATTAATAGTGAAATAAATAAATCACTGAGGTTGAAAAATAATATTCTGGACTAAAAATAATGTTTGAATAAAATAAGGAAAATAAATATTTTCGGTTATGTAAATAAAGTAATTAGATAATAATTAGAGAAAATTAATGGTGATTATTGAATAAAAATTGGATGTTGTAGTCAATAATATTCGGATATTTTATTTAATATTAGAATTCAAATATTGTAATTAATGGCTGAATTAATAAGGTAATTTGATTAACAAAAAGTGATTAACCAAAGTTTATGCGAATAATAAAATAAAAGGGGAAAATCGGGTAAAGTAATTACAAATAGAATAAGTGACTAATTTATCATATTTAATTAAAAAGGTGATTATCTAGAGACCGGATTAGAGGAGGATAACTAGGAGCATCAGGACTTAAGGTAAGTTTCTCTGCCAATCCAAATTGTTTCCTCGTATTATATGCTTATTATGCATTATGTGATTAAGTGTGAATGTTGAATGTGTACTATTTGGGGTGACTAAGAATTTGAGAAATATTGAAGGTATATTTTGGGATTTAATCCCTAGTATGACTTTGGAGTGAATTTTTATGTAAAAGAATTTTGGAGTATTTATGAATGTGAATTTTTGGTGGACGTATCTATTAAATAGATATTCTGTAGGACTATATATAGAAAGATGATTTTTCAAGGAATCATGTTTTTCAATAATTATTGGCATCTCGAGAGAAACGCGAGGTGTGGGTGGTTAGAGCTATATACCGCGGGTTTAATTTAGGTTTAAGATGATTATTGGTGGCGGGAGAAATCCCGGTAAATATTGGTGGCGGGAGATTCCCGGTATTTGTTTTGAGAACTTTAAACGTTCTTTGGTGGCCGCGGTAGTAGTTTCTAATTACCCGGGTATCTAACCCATTGTGAGGTAGGGGGACGTTGTCCGAACTACTTGGACTTCTTACTACTCGGAGGGCTTGGAATCCCTTTTAGGGGGTGTGCACACTTAAGGGTGAAGTTCAGTTTCCAATTGGTGGTCGGTGGGAGCCGGAATTCCGGGATGAGTCGTACACAACAACGATTCATTGGGCTCGAGGAATCTTGAGTTTCGCCCATCTTAAAAGAATCTGAAAGTGACATTGATTTCGGAATGGTGATATTTTTAGCTACAAAAGTTATTTTTGAAAAGTGATACTTCTTTTGAGATATTAATTAATTGTTGGGAGCTTATAAATATTATTTTTAATTATACGGGTATTTGAGATTATAAAGTTGATAAATGATGTTTTTGATTAGAAAAGAATTTCGGTGGTGTGAGTATTTTTATATAGTATTATATGAAAAATCTATTTTCGCCAAACCTGATTATTTTACGGGGTTGGGTAGTACTTACTTAGCTCTAAAGCTAATTTTTGTTATTTTTCTTGTCTCTCTCTCTTCTCCCTTAAATTTTATCAGGTGATGAGTTGGATACCTATGGGGATTGATGGATTGCTCGAGCTTGAGTGCGAATTAGAAGATGCCTTAGTTAAATCTAGTCATGAAACAAACATTTACTTATTATTACATTAGTTTTTGTTGTTTTACTTTGAGTTGCTTGTGCATTCGGTTAAGAGATGACCGAATGTGGCGGTAACACTCATTTCCCTTTTAGACTTCCGTTGTATTTCTTCAATTCTTTGATGAATGAATAAAGTATTTCTTTTAAATATATCAATGTTTTGGGCGGGAAATTTAGGGGTGTTACAAATTGGTATCAGAGCCTTAAGTTTTCCGAAGGGACTAGAACACGAGGTAATAGGTCGTAGGGAGAAATTCTGTCACAAAGACGATAACAGTCTAAGCTGGTTGGTGCATAATTGAGCCCTGCGCTCGTCCAACTAACTGGGAATTTCTCCTTGTGCTGAAACTTCGTCGTTCGAAATCTTTGACGAAAACTATAGTTTTGATGCAGGGATTTTCAAAATGTTTTTGTAAAATAAGGAGAATGAATATACTAGGAAAAAGACCTTTTAGGACGTGGTGAGAGGGAGAAACCTTTGCGAAGTTATTGAGTTAGGAAATGCATGAAATTCGTGCTTATGTGAAGTATGTGGAGTAAGTAAGATCCTTTGTATGTGTTTATCTGTTTGAAGTTAGTAGAGAACGTGTATAACGTAGAAGCCTGATGCATGCCTTAGAACTTAGTACGCATTTTCTTTATTAAGAGTCATGCCGCCGAGAAGAGACATCCATGCGACCCTAACTGTCGACGAGCTGGCCCAAACTGTCCAGCGAATGGCGCAGCTCATCGGAGCAGCTCAACCCCAAAACCCTAGGATCGACTACGCAACAAAGGTAGCCGGACGGAACCCTCCAAAATACTTGGGCGAGGAGGAGCACCTTATCTTGGAGGACTGGATCCGCACTTTCGACAAGCTCTTTGATTCACTGAATTGCCCGTCGGAGCAACGGGTAAATATTACGGTGTATTATCTGCACCAAGAAGCGGACCACTGGTGGGCCGCCAACGGACCAGCACTTCTCGGGCAACCGGGCTTCGATTGGGAGGACTTCATAGTAGCGTTGCGGGATCGCTTCTACCCAGATCACGTGAAGGAAGCAAATTATGAAGAATTTGTCAGCTTTAAACAAGGTGACCTGACTGTTCAGGAGTACCACACGAAATTCGTTCAACTGGCACGATTTGCCAAGGACCCGGTGTCGACAGAGGCAAGTATGACCCGCAGGTTTGTTAACGGGCTTAACTTCGGGGCCCAAAAGTTCGTGACGGTAGCAGAGCCGCGGAATTTGAATGAGGCTTATAGAAAGGCTAGTAAGTACTACCTGGTACACCAGAAGGAAAGGGAGGCACACAAAAGAGACCGAAAGAATGCGGAAGTGGAACAGCAACAGAAGAAGGCCAAGATTGATCCCCTTGAGCAGCGCCAGAACAACCAAGGCGGAGGAAGATTCCAAGGTCAAAATCAGAGGAGGGATCGTGAGAGGCACTATTACCGCAAGCGTTGTAATAGAGATCACTCAGGCGTAAATTGCGACGGAAGTCAAATTAAATGTTTCAATTGCGACAAGCTAGGACACCGAGCTTTTGAATGCAATTCCAAAAAGGCGGACATACCGGCAAACCCGAATCAGGGGAGTGATGGAAACAACGACAACAACCCCAATAGAGGTCGAATCTACGTGATGAATCAAACTCAGGCAAACGCTCACAATCTCGACTCCGGTAATATTCTTGTTACGAGGACGTAACCTCTCGTTAAGGTGGGTAGAATGTAATACTTTAGAATTTTGAAATTTAACTTTAGTTTATGTTTCGGGACGAAACATCTTTTAAGGAGGGTAGAATGTGACACTCCAAAAATTTAAATAAAAATAAAATAATTTTTATTAGTCAGATAAAATATTACGAAAATAACATTTTTATAAATAATTGAGTCAGACAAAAATTCAACAGATGTGACATTTTAATCAGATAAAATTTTCAAAATTTATGACGTTTTAGTCAGATAAAAATACTTCAGTAATAAGAACAACATTTCAGTAAACAAGTGAACCAGACAGAAAATTTACATTTACGACATTTTTAGTCTGATAAAAATGGTCCGATAATAGTTGTAACGTATAAAAATAATTTTATGTATAACTTTTTAAGTTTTAAAATAATACGGAGGGACTGTACACTAATACGTACGTATAATTTTTATACGTATAAATTATTAGCAAACAATATAAAAATTAAGTGTTTTAAATAAACTAAACTAACTAAGTACGTATAAAATATATATACTTCTAATATATATATAACTACATACGTAATATACTACCTACATACGTAATATAACTACATACGTAATATACTACCTACCTTGGGGTTAAACTAAACAATATATATACGTAATACGTAGTATTATAATTATACTAAACTACCTACCTTGGGGTTAGTAGTATTATACTAAACTACCTACCTTCGTGTATAGGTAGTATTATAAACTAAAAGTAGGTTACACTCCCGGTAGGTTTGTTCTTGGCCGGCAAAACAAAACAACCAAAAATCGGGAGGAGCTATTTTAATCCAACTCTAACTCTAACGCAGCCCGGAACCCTCATCTTTCCCTATAAATAGCAAGCCAGAACCTGCGTTTTCTTCACCCCAAAATCTGCGAAATATACATATATACGTATATATATATATATATTTTCGACCCACCGTTTTAGCCAGAAACAAGCCCTGAAAATACTTCTCAAACCTTCCCCTTCGTGATACGAATCCAACGGAAAAAGAATCGTCGAAAACGGTCGTGAAACGAGGGAGAAAGAGCTCGCCGGAGTTTCGCCGGGGAAAAACTTTTCGACGGAAAACGGAGAGGAGGGAGGAGTTGCCGCTGCCGCCAACCCACCACCGACATTCGCCGTCCCAAACGGAGCCAATAGCACCGTCGTTTCGCTCGTCCGACGAGGTAACACCTTCCCCCCTTAAATTCCCGTTTTTCCGGCGACTTGGTGGAGAAGACGACCCAGCCAAGGCTGGGATCTGTCTTGGGCCTGATTTTTTTGGGCCAGAAGAATTAAACTTGGGCCAGTTCGGCCCAGTTGCAATAAAAATTAAAAATAAAATAGTAAATGAAATAAATAAAATCTGGAAAAATATAAATTAAATACCTAGTATAAATATACATATTCGGACCAACCAGAATTGAAAAATAACATTTTTAGCTATTTTTAATTGATTTAATTGAAATTGGGCCAATTTATACACATTTAGTAAATAATTAACTAAATAACGAAAATAATTATGAAATAAATATTGGAGTAAACTAGGATAAATATATGACTAACTAGGACCTTATGGACCATTTATAATTAATAAATATTAAGATTTAGTATATTTAATTGTAATTGAACCGGTTAATAGATATATGAAATTAAAGGAATAATTATGGAAGATAATTATAAAATAGATATCTGGACAACCTAGGTCAAATATAGACCCAAAATATAGTTATAGACGGTTTTTAATTTATAAAGTCGATTTTTAGTCTATTTATTTAAATTAGGCCATATAAAACTAGTTAAGTAATTAAATAAGGAAATATTAGTATTAATGGTGAAATAAATAAATCCCTGAGGTTGAAAAATAATATTCTGGACTAAAAATAATGTTTGAATAAAATAAGGAAAATAAATATTTTCGGTTATGTAAATAAAGTAATTAGATAATAATTAGAGAAAATTAATGGTGATTATTGAATAAAAATTGGATGTTGTAGTCAATAATATTCGGATATTTTATTTAATATTAGAATTCAAATATTGTAATTAATGGATGAATTAATAAGGTAATTTGATTAACAAAAAGTGATTAACCAAAGTTTATGCGAATAATAAAATAAAAGGGGAAAATCGGGTAAAGTAATTACAAATAGAATAAGTGACTAATTTATCATATTTAATTAAAAAGGTGATTATCTAGAGACCGGATTAGAGGAGGATAACTAGGAGCATCAGGACTTAAGGTAAGTTTCTCTGCCAATCCAAATTGTTTCCTCGTATTATATGCTTATTATGCATTATGTGATTAAGTGTGAATTTTGAATGTGTACTATTTGGGGTGACTAAGAATTTGAGAAATATTGAAGGTATATTTTGGGATTTAATCCCTAGTATGACTTTGGAGTGAATTTTTATGTAAAAGAATTTTGGAGTATTTATGAATGTGAATTTTTGGTGGACGTATCTATTAAATAGATATTCTGTAGGACTATATATAGAAAGATGATTTTTCAAGGAATAATGTTTTTCAATAATTATTGACATCTCGAGAGAAACGCGAGGTGTGGGTGGTTAGAGCTATATACCGCGGGTTTAATTTAGGTTTAAGATGATTATTGGTGGCGGGAGAAATCCCGGTAAATATTGGTGGCGGGAGATTCCCGGTATTTGTTTTGAGAACTTTAAACGTTCTTTGGTGGCCGCGGTAGTAGTTTCTAATTACCCGGGTATCTAACCCATTGTGAGGTAGGGGGACGTTGTCCGAACTACTTGGACTTCTTACTACTCGGAGGGCTTGGAATCCCTTTTAGGGGGTGTGCACACTTAAGGGTGAAGTTCAGTTTCCAATTGGTGGTCGGTGGGAGCCGGAATTCCGGGATGAGTCGTACACAACAACGATTCATTGGGCTCGAGGAATCTTGAGTTTCGCCCATCTTAAAAGAATCTGAAAGTGACATTGATTTCGGAATGGTGATATTTTTAGCTACAAAAGTTATTTTTGAAAAGTGATACTTCTTTTGAGATATTAATTAATTGTTGGGAGCTTATAAATATTATTTTTAATTATACGGGTATTAGAGATTATAAAGTTGATAAATGATGTTTTTGATTAGAAAAGAATTTCGGTGGTGTGAGTATTTTTATATAGTATTATATGAAAAATCTATTTTCGCCAAACCTGATTATTTTACGGGGTTGGGTAGTACTTACTTAGCTCTAAAGCTAATTTTTGTTATTTTTCTTGTCTCTCTCTCTCTTCTCCCTTAAATTTTATCAGGTGATGAGTTGGATACCTATGGGGATTGATGGATTGCTCGAGTTTGAGTGCGAATTATAAGATGCCTTAGTTAAATCTAGTCATGAAACAAACATTTACTTATTATTACATTAGTTTTTGTTGTTTTACTTTGAGTTTCATGTGCATTCGGTTAAGAGATGACCGAATGTGGCGGTAACACTCATTTCCCTTTTAGACTTCCGCTGTATTTCTTCAATTCTTTGATGAATGAATAAAGTATTTCTTTTAAATATATCAATGTTTTGGACGGGAAATTTAGGGGTGTTACAGATGGAGCCATCTAAATTTCCCAAAAAACCATTTGAGACCAAAAAGGACTCAAACTGAGTACGCCAAGTGAGATAATCCTCAACCGCAGCAAGTTTGGTAGTAACAATATTTGTAATATTGAGTGCCGAGAAACCAATGTTTTTAACCAAATCAGATAAGGAGTAAACTGGATGAGACGGGGCACTTGACCGTGGTGCAATCGGTCCGATGGAAGCGGAAGCAGGCAGAGGAGCAACTCCCGGAGCACAAGCGAAGGTGGGACCTTCAAAGCTGGAGTCGGAATTCACCGTTGGAGAGGAGCCGACGGCACCAGAGAAGAAAGACATCTGCGGGAGAGATTGGGGCCTGGTAGGAGACCAGTTGAAGACCGGCGGTACCCATGGTGAGCCTTCTGTTGTCGCGGACAAATTGGGAGGAGGCGGCATAGATGAAACCTGAGATATAACTGGCGATGCAGCGACGATGGTTGTCATCGGTGCGGTTTGGGAAGAAGAAATGCCAGCGGCGGTGGAGACGCCTGCTGCGGCAGAGAAGGAGTCGGCTGAAGACACGAGTCCGAAAAAATTAGGGTAAAATAATTACCAGGCTTAACCTAATGGTAGCCCTAACACATATATTTATAGATAAAAGAGTCTGAATTACAATAGGATTCCACAATAATAAATAAATATTAAACTTGTCACGCCCCGGACCTATCCGAACATGTCAACAACCCACCGCACAGTACAAATAATCAACCACAGTCCAACACATCCATACTATACAAGGCGTCTGGAATATCATTCACATGTAGTACATCTATAAACAAACATAACGTAAAATATTCGTTAAAGCAGCAGAAACATTAATACAAGTGTTCAAGCCACACTTGGCAAACTTAGGCATACAAGCCTCCAAATAAATATTTCATAAAACATTATCCATGAGCATTTATATAACTATTTTCAAAACAGAAACGGAGGAAGCACGAACCACGTCTTCTCTCCTAGATATCCCTGAAGCAACGGGCATCTGTAGCAAACTTCAATTTCTACCTGAAACTATGAGGTGACCTCCCCCGTGAAGGGAGGTCTGTACTTTGAAGCATTTGAAAAGTACAATGACAACTACACTGTATATAATCAATGTTTCAATCTCTAAGACCATCAATCTAGGGTGATATTATATTATAGGCCGTAACCCTCGGTTACCCTGTTTGAAAATATACTTACTTTATATATAAAGTCAAGTAGTCGGCCTGTGGGCTCATATTTATTTAAAACGCCTATCCTCATCCCACGTGACCACTAGTCCAGTTATCATATATTTATAGTAAATTATTACGCCGTTCTAGGATTTACATTAACGCGTTACTTCACTATTTCGGAACCCCGTTCACTTATTATAATTACACCGTGCTAGAGCCTCGCTCGTAGTCACGTTTCATAGTGCTAGAGCCTGGCTCTTGGTCACTCTACTCTGTGCTAGAGCCTCGCTCATAGTCACTCTACATTGGGCTAGAGCCTCGCTCGTAGTCACCAATATTCCGTGGTAGAGCATGACTCTTGGTCACGTTACTAAGTCTCTAAGCAATTTCTATGCCTAGACTCCATTCACTTTGAGTAGCCTTTAAGGCCTACTCCTAACATATCTTAGAGCTCGTACGGTTCGACCTTAAAGTATCTCTTAAGACTACTTAAGGCATCTCTATTCACAATCCTCTCTTAGGATTAATTCCATCATTTATTCATATAAATCTTCCAACTAGTATTTCGATACTAGACGGGAAATATTAGAACAACCAAGTTCTTAATCCATAATCAAATAATTCATTTCAATTGATTTTCCAATCCAAATATGATTTAATCTCAATATCAAAAATATCACTTTTATCCATTCATGAATTTCTTACATGAAGTAAACGTATATTTTATCACAATATTTCATAGTTAATTTCCATCATCATGCCCTCATTTTCATGACACATAATCATACACAATTTCCTCTAAATTTGTATATCATGCTTCATCTATTCATAGGCATTAGTATTTTTATTTAGGCATTATTAATCATTAATAATCCATGAAAATCACATTTAAAATACCTTAGGTAATCTTATGAAATTAACTCACTAATTATAAGTAATATAGTCAGTCATCCTCACCTTATGATGTGCTACAATAGTTGCCTTTGATACACCCCTCGATCAATCCCCGTTCTAGGCCGATTGAAAATGGAATTTCTAAGCAGCAGCCAAAAGCCGGGCGGCTTTCGTGTTCTGCAGATACGGGCAGCTCCATTTCGGTGGCGGTTTCCGGTGATATCGACTCCTATCGATTTGCCAACTCTTCTAAGTTAATTACCACCACTTTATATCAATATTCTACACTTTTAAACGTGTAGAACTTCACATTTAACACACCATACGATTTTCTTAAAAAACCGTACACCAAGGAACTAGTTAAAAGAGTAGAAGTTGTGTTCTTATCTCTTCTTCTAGCTTTTTCTTGGGTTTTCTTTGTTGTTGTTCCCTCCAAGCTTGTACTTTGAGAAGAGACTTTCCTAGAGCTCTCTCTCCATTTTCTCTCGTGTGTAAGGTGTGAAATGAAGGAGGAAACGTCACCCCAATCAACACCCAAGATAATACACGTATAGGGGCCCTTGTGAGTGATTTCTTTCTCTTGAGCAATCTCTTCACTCAATAAGTCCCTCCCTCCCATGTTTGTATGTTTCATTTGATTAATTTGAGTGTTCAACTCATGTAGGAAAAATCCCAAGTGGGTGTATGAAGCCCCTCCCAATTATTCCTGATATTTCTGGCAGATTGGGTCAAAATAACGTTTAGGTTGCTCAACCGTTTTCCTCAACTTTAGTTGGCATATTATTGGGCTTCTATAATCATTACGATGACCCAACTAATTATTTGGTAACCCATTCTCAATATTATGGGCCCGATAAATAATTTAATTAATCATTCATTAATTAAATATATTATTCTTTTACACGAAATCATTCGCTAGAAAAATTCAAATACATACTGAATTTAAATTCAAGTACATCCGGGTGCGGTGTCACAAAACTACTCTATTATATACTACCTTTGTCCTCTTTTAATTGCAACATTGAATTTTTTGCATTATTCACATATTCTACTTTGACTGTATTTTATTTATTGATGTATTATAACTTAAATTAAAAAAATATTTTTTAATTTATCTCATTTTAAATTTTCAAAATCTGAATTCTTTATTTTTTTTCTAATAATGAATGAAAGATATTAATGGTAAAACTTGTGCGTTGACAAACGTAAAAAGTGGAGATTACAATTGATAGAGTATATAGACTCGGACCCCCGGATCTCACGACTATTGGGCCTGGGGCAGCGGTCCACGTACACTCAGCTGATAGCATTTTCATTATTGTACATTATTATTATTCAGGTGTTCTAGATTAGCCTTTTATATTATCAGTCCATTTATGTAATCGGGTCTGTCAGGCCCATATTAGAGGCCCAGACCCGGATTTCTTCCATACATACTTCTTTTGGAGCTTGTAAACCTTAACTCTAATACACATCACTACTCATTCATCTTCTTCCTCACATTAGCTCAAATCTCTCCATTTTGTTATAGTTTGGATACCCTATAATCCATCAACAATTAAAAAAGAATGGAAGAAATATTTTATCCATCAAATAAAGATGACGGGGAGATGTATACCCTATAATCCATCAATAGTTTGGATACCCTATAATCCATCAATGGTGCTCTCGTTGAGAGCACCATCAATGGTACATCATCAAATAAAGATGACGGAGCGATATATGGCCGAATAGACCCGTAAATGAGCTTCACGTCATCAAATAAAGATGACACGAAGCTTATTTATAGGCCTATTTGGCCATATATTGCTCCGTCATCTTTATTTGATGACGCGAAGCTCATTTACGAGCATATTCGGCCATATATCGCTCCGTCATCTTTATTTGATGATGTGAAGCTCATTTACGGGCCTATTCGGCCATATATCGCTTCGTCATCTTTATTTGATGACGTGAAGCTCATTTACGGACCCATCGGCCATATATCACCCCGTCATCTTTATTTGATGACGTGGGGCTCTTATGCAGGCCTCTTGGCCATACATCACCTCGTCATCTTTATTTGATGACGTGGGGCTCTTATGCAGGCCTCTCGGCCATACATCTCCCCGTCATCTTTATTTGACGACGTGGGGCTCTCATGTAGGCCTCTCGGCCATACGTCGCCTCGTCATCTTTATTTGATGACATGAAGCTCTCATATAGGCCTCTCTCGGCCATACATCACTCTGTCATCTTTATTTGATGACGTGGAGCTCTCATACAGGCCTCTCGGCCATACATCGCCCCATCATCTTTATTTGATGACGTGGAGCTCTCATCCGGGCACCTCAGCCATGCATCGCCCCGTCATCTTTATTTGATGACGTGGAGTTCATCATAGCGGCCACTTGGCCGTCTCTCCTGGTCATCTTTATTTGATGGCTTGGACTTCTTATCGGCCCATCGGCCTTATATTCTGGTCATCTTTATTTGATGGACCAGACATCATATTATGGACGGTCGCTCGACCCATCCCTTAGTCATCTTTATTTGATGACTAGGACTACTTATCATGCCGAGCTACTCACATCTAGAGACTGGTCTCGGCCATCCCCGTAGCAGGCGGACACCGTTGCAGCTCCACACCTAGGTCGGAGGGCTCACCCCTTTTGCTTCATATTGGGGGCATCCGATGTACTCTTTTTCCCTCATTAGGATTTTTTCCCACAGGGTTTTTCCCTAATGAGGTTTTTAACGACGCATCTCCCCATTGTGGATCAAAAGGCGTCGACTCTCGCCCCCTATTGAAGACACCATGCGACACGCACTACTCTACTCCTCTTCACCTCACTACATTCACCTCAAGGAGCGGGGGACTGGAAGAGCGGGGGACTAAGCGCCTCTGTTAACCAAAGAAGCAGAAATTCAAAATATTTCACGAAGTCTACTCACCAGAAGACGACAAATTAGCACACAGTTCTACTCCCTTTCGCCTCGAGTACTCTCGACTCAGGGAGTGGGGGACTCCTGATAGTGTATATAGACTCGGACCCCCGGGTCTCACGACTATTGGGCCCGGGCAGCGCCCCACGTTCACTCAGCTGATAGCATTTTCATTATTGTACATTATTATTATTCAGGTGTTCTAGATTAGCCTTTTATATTATCAATCCATTTATGTAACCGGGTCTGTCAGGCCCATATTAGAGGCCCAGACCCGGATTTCTTCCATATATACTCCTTTTGGAGCTTGTAAACCCTAACTCTAATACACATTACTACTCATTCATCCTCTTCCTCACATTAGCTCAAATCTCTCCATTTTGTTATAGTTTGGATACCCTATAATCCATCAACAATTAAAAAAGAATGGAAGAAATATTTTATTAAATTATGGAGGAATTAATGTTGACCGAGTTAACTGATCTTGATCGGAGTTAATTAACCGGAATTGAGGTTACCTGTGACCTGAACACTTGTCGGGTTGATTCATTGTCTTGTTCTCAGAGAACCGCCGGGGCGCCCGGGATCCACTATCCACACCCGATGGAAATTGCATCCTGTTAACCACAGCTCGTAGCCTCAACCTAACTGCTATCACAGTCAGCTGAGTGCTTTTCCCGGTGGTCAACGATGGAGTCTACGACAGGGACCAAGACTCAGGAAGAGCAGTGGATGGTAGAGCGCCAAGTCCGCGACATTTACAACTTCTTCCTCAGCATCCCTCCCAAGTCTCAGTCTGTCATGTCAGTTCTCTTTCACTCTCTTAGTTTATAGGTTTTCCTTTTACTTCTTGCATACACGAAATGTATATACTCCGCTTTTTTGTTTCTTACAATTCATAATAACCCGCTTCTTCTTTGTTATATCAACCGATCAGCTTGGAGATTCAACGAGATAAACACGCCGAGTATCTTTTCGGAGGACTACATCGCCTTGCTCCATCACTTTCAGTTCTCGATGCCAAGTATGTATGATTCGTTCCCTCTTTTAATAAAATTGGTATTCGTATTTTCTTGAAAGGTGTGACTAGGTTTTGCTTGTTCACAGCCGACCTTGGCTTTGCTATTGGATGATCCACGCTATTGCTTTATTGGGTGAATGTATTCACGATGAATTCAGAGACGACGTCATTGACTTCCTCAGTCGCTGCCAGGTTTTTCACTCTCTGGTAGTTTTATATATGGTTATTGTATGTGTGAAATGTTTGGAGCCTGTAGTATGTTTTTCATTGTTCTCTTAAACTGTTTTTGCCAGAATGCTGTCTCATTTTTTCCTTTCATCATCACCACCACCACTTCACATTCATTCAAACTATTTTAGTGTCTCTCCCATGGAATATACTGAGTTAATTAGCCACCTAAATTTAGTTAACACTATAAGCTCATGCAAGAAGAAAAATATTGTAAAAGTCATGGGCACGATTCCTTCCACTTTCACCATCTTCTTAAGAAGGAATGCTGTCCCAATTTTCCTTTGTGATTGGAAAATGCATTATGTAGGATAGCTTCTGCCTCTTTCTGCCACTGTGTTATTAAATAAGTGAGGCGCTCAGTGTAGGTTAAATCTGCAACATATTCAAATGAAGTGAACCTTGGAAAGGACGAGGGTTAAATCTATTATCAATTCTAAGCTAATTTAACTCATGTAATGAGGAATACAGGTTTTGACTTTTGAGATAATATCCTACTTGGATTCATGGTCTCAATTGTATGGGATTGAAGTTGTAATTAGAAGCTCACAACACCTTTCTATTGGTCCCTACCAAGTAAAAAACTCCAAACTCCTAGATGGATCTATGCAAATGAGGCTCCTCAAGTTTCTGATTTAGTTATTGTTGCCCGTGACTTGATTGCATTTTCTTAAACTGTTCAATTGGCCACTTCTTTTAAATATATATTTTTTGTTTGTAAATTCTCTTTGAAAAGTTCTATATCTGGCAACAAAATTATTAGAAAGGAACAGAGTGCGAGAAGTATTTATTAGGCTAAGGGGTCAAATAGGCCGTTGTTCCGGTCATATAAGCTCAATTCAGCCCATGAACTAAAAAAAGGTCCAATTCGCATCTCGAACCGACACAAAATGGTTCAAATTTCATTTTTTACAGATAACCAATCGGTCACCCACCACTTCACCGATCTAATTGCCACATGTGCATTTAAGTTGAAACTAAAAGCTCAAATAAGCCCCTGAACCCGTCACAGTTGATCGAATCACCCCCTAAACTATTAAAAAGTGTCAAAATTGTAATAAATTAAAAATAAAAAATAGAAAAAAATTAAAAAATGAAAAAATATTAATATAAAAAATTAAAAAAATGAAACTTAAGTTTAATTTTAGACTTTATATTCATACTTTGTATCTATGTTTTTACATCAATATTTTATTTAAGAATTCATTTCTATTTTAATATTTTATTTTATGTTCTTATATTTTATTTATATGAAAATATCGACATTCTTATTTAGAATATTTGCTATGTTTAATTCCTACTTAGGGATTTTTTCTTTAGAGTTTTAGATTTGTCCTTACATTTATATTTCATATTTCACTATATTTTTAACATTGTTTCCTATATATTTTATTTTGTATTAGAAAGATAAAAAACATATTTATGCTTTAAGTTATACGTAGTACAAAATATTTCCGGATTGAACTTTTATATTTTTTATTCTATAACTTTTTTGAAGTACTATAAATTCCTACGGAGTATTTTATATTTCATACGTTTTAATTCAAAACCTACGAATTGATAAAAATATAATAACATAAAATAAAATCTTAAATAAAATATTGATATAAAAACATATATATAAAGTCTAAAGTTAAACTTAATTTTCTTATTTATATATTTTAATTTTTATATTTACAAATTTTATAATTTTTTAAAATTTTTCTGTTTTTATTTTAATTTAATACAATTTTGACACTTTTTAGTACTTTAGGGGGTGATTTGATCAACCCTGACGGGTCCGTGGGCTTATTTGAGCTTTTAGTTTCAACTTCAGATGCACATGTGGCAATCAGACCGATGGCGTGGCGGTCACCTGTAAAAAATGAAATTTGAATCATTTTTTGCCAGTTCGAGGTGCGAATTGGACATTTTTTAGTTCAGGGACTGATTTGAGCTTACACGACCGGTTCAGGGTCCTATTTGACCCTTTAGCCTATTTATTATTGATGTGTTTTGTTTTTTTCATGATCACAGGATCCAAATGGGGGATATGGCGGTGGGCCTGGTCAGGCACGTTTATGTTCAGAATAAATCTTATTTGAATCTGATTTTTTTCTATAGATTTGTTAAATCTATTTCTGGAAGCTAAGTGTGTTGACTTGTTAACTCAAACTCTAAAGTCTAAACTTATAATTTTGTAATTTTTGAAAATCTTTTTTCTCTTTCTCATTTAGATGCCACATCTTGCAACAACCTATGCTGCAGTTAATACTCTAATAACTTTGGGAGGTCAAAAATCTTATTCAACAATTAGGAGGTTACCTATCCAAATATCCAATCATTCCTCATTTTCACTTTTATCTAAATGTCATGTGATGTTAGGAGTGATCTTTACTTATATTTCAGAGACAAACTATACTCATTTTTGCTCCGAATGAAAGAAACAAATGGTGGTTTCAGGTTGGTATTTTATGCCTGATTGCATTTGTTCTGATCAGAGTGCAATAGTGCATGAGATCAATTATTATTTAAGTATCCCTGTTAATCAGTATCTTGTGAAGTTTTCACTTTTTCCCATAATGTTTAAAATAATTTCTCGTAGGATGCATGATGGTGGGGAAGTTGATGTTCGTGCATGTTATACTGCCATTTCAGTGAGTCTCTGCTTCCCGTTCTTTCCATCCATAATAACTTTCCTCTAAATAATTAATAACAATCATTATCATCATCATCTTGACAACTAAAGAAGTATATTTGGAAGTATCTCATTGCTATTTGCTACAACACATTTTAATGGTAATCTGTTAGAGACTCAATGCAGCCAAATAAAGATGACAAGTATTATGGAAGAGTTTATTCTAGAAGAAGGATAAATAAGAGTAGTTGTTAGTTAAATTCTGTTGATAACATATAACTGTAGGTGGTACTATGGCTTACTATAAATAGAATAGACTGGGGGGAAATAAGGGTAGGCTGTTAGATGCTTGGCTTGGGACTGGGAAGTTAGAGTTCTATCTCTAGCTTTGGGACTACTGTACTGTGTACCGCCATTAATGAAGTTTGGAGTTGTTTTCTATTTCGTTTTACTGTGTGAATTGCGAACTGTTCTTAACATAATCATAAACTATTTGGTGAGGTTGCAAGCATCTTAAACATACTGGATGCTAGTCTGACTCATAAGACTGGAGATTTCATCGTAAGGTATGTCTTTACTGCTTTCCTTTTCCTAGCGAGTGCAGATCATTTGCCTTCGTAAAACTATACACCACTTTCCTATTTTTCATGTTTGCTGATAATTATAGTTACTTGAGTGCTTCTGAGTGATATTCTGTAATTTTTCTGTTCCCAGTATGCACAACCATGTGCAGCTCCCAGTAGCTTCTCGGCTTCTTGCCTCCTTGCACGGCGTGCGCGCCCAGTCCCATGCTCAATTCTTTCACTTTTCTTTTTCACAAATGACCTTCTCGAGTACAGTTGACCCTCTTTTCTCCATAAATGATCTCGAAAGCATTCTGAATCAATAATCAAAAGTCTCAAAAGCCAGTGTCGGCTTCTAGTTTTTGGATTCAAGCTAAAAACACATCAAGCACAAAAGAAAACCTGGTAAACCTTTACTTGAGTTAAATTAGCACTTTGTGACTCACTTAAGCCAAAGAAATCATATAAAACCTATTCCAAACCGCAACAGATAAATTTGAAGAACTTTAGTATTAAACACTTTCACCTTTTATGCTTGTTGAAACACGGAATTATCATGTACAGTTTACCACTTAAAGTCTCACTTTTTCCACTTATGACCTTAAACACAACAGATAAATTTGTAGAACTGTAGCATGAGACACTTTCACCTTTTATGATTTCACATTCCCTATCATCATTCGCAGTTGTGTAACCTATGAAGGTGGAATTAGTGGAGAACCAGGTTCCGAAGCTCATGGTGGGTAAGTAACATATTATTCTTATTTTGTATATACTATCTCCGTCCCGAAAAGGTTTGCCATATTGATTTTTCTTGGTCAATGATGGCAAACTGTGGACAATGATTTTAATAATTATATTTGTATATAATTTATAAATTTATAAATTTTATACTTATATGAAAATATTTTGAATAAGGAACATTTTGAAATAATTTTCATATTCAAAATAATTTCGTATTAAAAAATATCATTGGTCAAAGTTGATTATCATTGACCAAGAAAAGTCAATTCGACGAACCTTTTCGGGACGAAGGGAGTTTGTATTAAGTGGGAAAATTTAAATGCATGTGCTTCCAGTTATGTTTATTTTGGTCTATTCTTATCTATGCACACTGCTGATTGCATATTTTTGTGCTTGTGTAATGAACTTTGTGTCTTCTGATGTAAATCTTTTGCTTTAGAGTTTTGCCATTTCTCTTCAAAGCAGTGATTTATTTAGCTTCTTATGTACTTAAAGTGGCTTCTTAGAGCCTGATTGGAATTTAGGTGGAGGGTTCTGAGTGAAAGGTTTTGAAGGGCTTGGTTAGTTGGTTTATATGTTAACAAATACAATGTTTGCAGAAAAGAATAAAAATGGTTTGAAGTGTTATATGGCAGCATGCTATGCTAATTTTTATAAAATCTCAAATACATATCAAAATATATACTAAGCTCCCCAAAGCCCCCCACCCCACCCAAGCCCTACATCCAAACAAATCTCTACAGGCTTACTGATCAGATCGGGTGTCTCCCAGGTACACATTCTGTGGTTTGGCTGCAATGGTTTTGATCAATGAAGTCAATCGTTTGGACTTGCAAAGCTTACTTGTATGTTGGTTCTTGGTTCCATAGTCTTCACAACAGCAATTCCTTAACTTATAATTTCATATATTTGTACTAGTGTTCCGTCAAGGGCGGTTGCTTATGGCTATGTTTGGGGATTTTCCAAAGGGGAGGAGTATAATTTTTATTAATCTTCATAACATACAAATTTTAAAAAGTAGGGTTTGTTGGTTCCTATTTTCTCTTCCTTACGAAATAAGATAAAGTCTCTCTCTCCATAATTTACCTCCTTATATCTTTCTTCTAAAACATAGTGTAGTTGTTTATGGTTGTGATAGGACTGGATAGTATTTAGGCAAGGAGTCGAAGGTGGATTTCAAGGGAGAACCAATAAATTGGTGGATGGTTGCTATTCATTTTGGCAGGTATTAGCTGTTGACTTCGCACTTAAATTTATATCCAAATTCTGAGATTATTCAGCTATGTATAGCTACTTCACAGGGTGGCGTTGCTGCAATTATTCAAAGGTTGCCATTGGATGCCACAGAATGTCAATCCTATGCAGGGAGTGACCATGCTGATTCTGTTGGCGGTATTTCTTCTGATGGAGAAGACAATCTTGAAAGAACTTCCATTGACACTGATTTAGCTAAACCTATTCATCTAGGGCATGGAGGTATGAATACATTGACCACAAATTTATTTAACGAGAGGGACTAATTGTATCACAACCCCCATCTCCATCTCTGCAAAAAATAAGACTTCCAGACCCGTTTATATTTGGTTTTCTAAATAATAGTCATTCTGAATTTCTGATCACATTAAAGTAAAGTAGACAGAACTCATAAAGACTGATCCCTGGAGTTTAATACCTCGTCTAATAACTCCGTTTTATGCTTTATTTCTTCGAGAGAATGTTAGGATAAAAAGAAAATTCCTTACAATACAAGGAGTCATATTACTCATGTTTCATCAAGGTACAACATTTTGATTTGAACAAGGCACAGCTCTTGTAAATCATCCAACATTCCAACCTACTTATATTTTTGAGTTTAGTTGGTTCTTAAACCAAACTTGGCATAACTTGGCATATTTAAATAAATGGCACTGTTGGAACACTTTTTGGCAAAAAAACATTAAATTCAATAAAAGTTAATTTCTTTTGTTGAAATAGGTTTTTTCTTTCGGGGTAAAAATAAGTTTTGTAATAAAACTATTTATTCTTAGGCGTGGAGGGTGTAGAACTATTGAAGAACTAAATTTACGAAATATGAAAGATGGGTCCCAGATTATATATTGTCAAATGATTGAGGGACTAGAAGTATGATTTTCCATTATTTCATTAAAAGCTGCCAACTACTGAACTTCAAAGTTTTGAATCCATCTCATCTGTGTGCCACTGGATGTTTCAGTTGGGTCAGAACATGAAGCTGAACGATCTAACCTGAGTGACATTGGGTATCATTTCATCAACGGGCAGCAGCATGCTTCTAGAAGTCCTTTATTCGACAGCATGAGCTTGCAGCGTTACATCATACTTTGCTCACAGGTATTGGGCATCCTCCGCTCTTTACATTTACTGTCTATGCAATAGAATGACCGTAACATTCACTTGTGTACGCGAATGTTCTCGGATTTGGTTGGACTCTTTCAGGTAGAGGGTGGTTTCAGGGACAAACCGAGGAAGGGTAGAGATCACTACCACACGTGTTACTGCCTGAGTGGGCTTTCAATATCACAATATAGCTGGACAAGAGATTTTAGAACCCCGCCGTTACCTGGGCACATCTTGGGTCCTTATTCCAAAAACCTAGTAGAACGGATTCACCCTCTATTTAACATTGTCATAGACCGCTACTATGAAGCGCGCCACTTCTTCTCAGGCTTGTGAGGATCTTTTTGTTCTTTTCTGCACTATACATTGATACGAAAATGGTTCTGTATTGTATTGTCTGACTGTGGTGTCTTAAAGATTGCATCGTGTATTTTTAGTCAAAACAACTACTAATATATGAAGTCTTTGCTTTGATGTTTTGTCACCAAAGCGTAGCTGTTGTACTGCGTTATTGTCTGGTGTAACTTGATGTCTAGAAGAGTATGGTACAAGTCCAATTCATTGCGTCACCGTGACCTGTGTGATACTGTGATTACTTAGGGAGTGTTTGTGATTGCTTCAAAAGTGATTGTAGTGAAAAAGGTAAAGTTGAAGTGTTTGATAAAAAAAATGATTTTTAATGGAATATTTTATGAAAGTACACAAATGCCCTTCCTTCCTTGAATTAAATCAAATGCTCCTGATATACAAGAATGTTATCTGCCAAAGCGTATCCTGGAGATGACTATATTACGATTGAAAAATTGGAGCTCCTGTCTTGATCGAAAGTCACAGGTCAGAGTTTAGGGGGAGAAAATTGTTCGCACTTCACAAATCAGAGGGGTATTGTTTGGGACTTCTACCTCCATAATTGTGTGTGTGTGTTTATATATAGGTTTTGGTTCAAATAAGAACATGATCTTAGGAGAGAAGAGAATGGATCTGGACCGTTAGATTTGCTTTAAGTGAAATTCAATGTGCATTAGATGAAACTACAATGTTCATTAGGTGAAATTGAAATGTGCAGCACAAATAGTACGATACAGTGGCATTATGTGAAGCTCAATTGTGCATTAGGTGAAATTGAAATATGCACTAGGTGAAACTAAAATGTGCGGAATAAAAGGTATGATGTGATGTTATTTTTGTACCTTTTATTCCGCACATTTCAGTTTCACCTAATGTACACTTGAGTTTAAATTTTTATTCTACACATTTCAATATCATCTGATGCACATTTTAGTTTCACCAAATCCAGTTCCACATAATACAATCCAACGGTCCAGATTCATTCTCATTTTTCTCTTGGGAGTCCGTTCTTACCGGAATCGCTCCATATATATATATATATATATATTCTTGAACGTCCACGCCTTCATTATATACTTATCTATAGAATGGATGCAAAACATAATGATGCCATATGTAGAATCTACTATTTCCCAGAGTATTTAAATACATGTAGAGTTCTGTTTGACTCTTGAAATGGTGCTAGATGATCAGTACGGATTAATATTAATGATTGAGGAGGTAACATTTTTGTATTTTACTGGAATAGGGAGCAATGGCAGACCCAAAAACTCGACATTGGGGCCATTCGTATGATACTACTATACTAGTAGTAGTATAATATATCACGCTATAAGTTGTTATAATATAACTTCTATAAAATTGGAAATGTAATTAATTAATAAAATCCTTACACACAAAAATATCACTGTTTTCACCAAGCAATACGTCAATCATTACTCAGGTTTGGCCATAGCTTGTGTAGACAATTTATATACTACGTATAATAATATATAATGGGAGAATATAAATAGAAAATTATGTAATAGAATAAATTGAAAATATTAAATTTTTTTACCGACTTTCAATCAAATAGATAAAATCCTCGTTTTTGATTCAAAAGATAGTATAGACTCTAGTAACATGAGTTTAGCTATGCTGATATTTCTAATGTATTCTCAGGCATCGGAGTTGTCTCAAATTGTACCTGTCATAGAGATTATAAAAGAAATAAACAATTTCAACCAACAAAAATTAATGGGGAACCCAAAACATATATTTATGTACGTATATCAACAGTGTTCAACTTTCAGCACAACATAGTTTTAAATAATAATGGAACTCAACTGTGTAATGACAAGATTAACAATACTTCACACAAGTATATATCTACAGAAATAAAATATAAAAGTGCATATCATATTTTGTTAGTCATCACATTTTAGATTTCAATCTTTTTTTCCTTATAACTATTGTGTATAACTATTGTGTAAAGAATACTATACGTCTTTCTTTTATTAATAGAAGAAGAGTCCAACTCGTAGGTCACCTACATTCTCTCATAAGGGAGGTACAATTATGTGTTAAAATACGGTTATAATATTGATGCAATCTAGAGAGAAGTGAGAGCTAGAGAGAAAAGTAGTATATTTGCTTTGTATTAATGAATTGTGAACCCTTACAACTACTCCCAGAGGGAGTATTTATAGAAAAAATTAGGGCTGGGCTCCCAAGTCTTGGACTTGGGAGGCCCATCTACAATAGGGCCACTAATGGGCCGGATACAAAGTACATAGAAAAGATTAAGTGTACATCCCGTTCTGGAGACTGTCTAGGGCCGACGAGGGCACGGTCGACGAGGGCATGGTCGACGAAGACCCGACTGACGAGGTCACCCGGCTCTTCCCGGCTTCTGGATCACATTCTGAGTAGACTTCTTTCTGGCCGATGGGGGTCATCTGGACGACGAGGGTCCCACCAGGTGGTCGTGGTACCTTCTGTTCTCCCGAGTATGTGGGCCCTGGGGTCCAGGCCCATATACTCCATCAGGAGTCCCCCACTCTCTGAGCTGAGATGAAGACGAAGTGAAGGAGAGTAGAGTCCCTGGTGTTGACTTTTTTCCTGGCCGTCGTGGGGCCGCTATGGATTCTTGCCCGTTACAGGCACCCTTTGCTCTGGTGCTTGATTTTCATTGCCGCGGGTGTACTGCGTTCTGGCCGTTGTGTGGTCATCGCTGTAGACGAAGAGGGCCCTAGCCATGGATGACGTTGTTTTCTGCTTGAGGACGACAAGCGTCTTTGCTTGGTAGAGACGATGAGCGCTATCTTACGCGATTGGCCGATGAAGACGGTGCTTTCCCGCGTACTCCTGGCCATTGATGGTTGAACTTTGCATTCATGGCCGAGGAGGCCATTGTGGTTATTTCCTGTTCGAGGACGATGAGTGTCCTTCTTCCTCCGGGTAGCCGGTGAGGGTGCTGTTTGCTTTATTTGGCCGCTGTGGTTCTCATTCTGTGCTTTTGGCTGAGGGGCGATGGTATTCGTAGCTTGGTGTCCATGTTTTGAGGTCGATGAGTTCCTGTCCTGATTCCAGGCCGAGAGTGGAGCATGCGGTCTCGAAGCCGTTGAGTGCCCTGTGATCTTAGGTGTTGCATCTTTGGAGGGAATTTTTCGTTTGCTGGCTTTGTTGCTGTCGATGGTGCACCACAAGGTTATGGACGTTGTGGTGCATATGTGATCTGATGTTGTAGTTGTGGACTTAATTTATTTTTGGATTTCTTTGATTTTGTCCTGATTTTCAAAGGCCGGTGTAGTCCCCCAGTCCCCCACTGCTTCAAGCCGAAGAGTAATCGAGGGGTGACGGAGTAAAGGATTCCCCTAGGCCGAAGCGGGATTCTTGTATTCCCCTGAATCCAATTCCTTGGCGATTTCCTGACCAAGGTAACCCTGTGGGAGAACCCTTGGACGCAGGTCGCTTTCAAGAAATTATCATCAGGGTTTTATACGAGGCCGATGATTGTGGGGTTGTTTTTTGCTTTGCTGTTGTGGCCGTTGAAAGGGTCATGCTTGTTGTTATTCTTGTTTGAGCCGATATGGGCACACCCTGAGGTGTGACCTACCCTTTTGAGGTCATCCTTGTGTTGAGGCCGATGTAGGCGCGCTTTCTTAGCGTGGCCGTTGAGTGGCTGGCCGTTGCGGGCGCTGATTGCTGGCATGTTGGCGATGGACTTGTACTGTGGAAGTGGGCCTGTCCCGCCTCCTGAATCGGTACCAGCCCAATGGGCCTTGGGGGTGGTGGCCGTTCATGTGGCCAACGGGTATGTGCCACGTGTATTGACCGTTGGGGGGTCTATAAATGCCCCTCTCCCTCCGAAGAGGCTCCTTATTGCATTCCTGAGATAACGAAGTGCTGCCAAAATTTCTAGAGAGAGAGAGACTTCCCGTGTGTTCTTCCGTTTTTCAAAACTTCAAAGGTCAGTTCATTGAACTTTTCTCCATTTCCTTGCATACTTTGCTTCTTTTAGTGTTTGATCCTGTAACACCGGATCCGAATTTTACCCAAAGATTTTTTTTTGATCAAGTACATGGTTAACAAAGGTAAAACAAGACTAGAGTAGCCTTGATAAATGAGAAAGATAAAATTATTGTCTTAAATTAATAAAGGATTATTAATCAAATGTGGGACCCACATCGGGAGCGGGGACCACCCGTGATATTTATAGTGTATAAAAAAATAATGTTGATCTAAACAATACTATTTTGATAGTAGGAATGGGTCGTGGACCCCAGTGATATATAGAATGACAACTAGACGGTCACGTGGGTCGGGGCCACTAATCGATAATTGTGAGCCCTTAATTCTCAGACTATTAATAATTCGGAAGGTTGTGAATTAATGACAGAAGAAATATAAATATTTTAAGAATACAAAATAATGGGTTGATAAATATATGATTAAATTGGTACATTAAAGGAGGGTACTTTTGGAGGACCCTACCTTGAAGATATTTTTGTATGAGGACAAACAGATAAGATTTTATCTGCTCATACATTTTGGACCACTTAAAAAGAAGTGTAACATTTTATTAAAGTGTCACAAAATATCAAAACACATATTGAGTCATGAGAAATGACTAATGAATTTACGAGATGAAACGTTCTCATTTTTACTGTTACTTGAACAGTAAATTGCACGTTGAGCCTACGCTAGGAGCGGGGACAATCCGATATTTATGGGACCACATATTATATTCATCTTGGTCTAGATAATATATATTTGATCGTGTAAATTCATGTTGAGCCATAGAATTGGCCGGTTGACCAAATGAGGTCCCATTACCGGTATTGGCAATTTAACAGATAATAGACCGAAATAAATTCCAGGGACCACTAAAATAAAGTGGGATAATATTTATTCATTTTAGAGTCCAATATTAATTGGAAGAATGATTTATATTGTATTTGAGTCGATAAAATAAAATATAATTAAAACAGTCCAGAAAATACAACTTTCGGGAACGAATGTACATTTTAGGACACATTGGGATGACATCCCACATGGGTGGGGGCCACCCCACGTAATTATGCAAGCAAACAGCCGAGAGGAAGGCTGGAGTTTGATGGGGGATTAATGAGAATTAATTAGGAAGGAAATGAGACTCTCTCCACCTCATTTGGTGTTAAAGGCCAAAAATCCATCTCCTCACACCCCACACCCCCATTATTTCGGCCAAACCTACCCAAGAGAGAAGGAAGAGCTCTCAAAATACTTACCTCCATAGCCATAATCAATCTCAAGCAAGAAGAGGACTCAAGGAAGAAGAAGAAGTGGTAAAAGTGGAGAAAAACCTTTATTAATTAAGGTAATGATCACATTAGTATTTTTCTTCCTTCTTTTAATCTCATATGATTTTATAAATCATATGATACACCCATAAGATTTTTCTACACTTCTAGAGGTGTAGAATGAGGGGTTGGAAGGATAGTTTTGACCATGAACAGAGTTATGACCGGAGTAAGACCGGTTCGCCGGAAAACACCTTCCCGGAAGGTTTTGATGTTTATACCACTTTTGGTTGTGAAACCTTGTTAGAAATTTTACCAAAGTATTCTAGACATCTCAAAGAATCTAGGAGTGGCCGGAAAAGTCGCCGGAGCAGCCGGAGTTTTCGCCGGAAAATTCCAAAAGTCGCCGGAGTTCAAACGAAGATGATAAAAGCTTGCTAGCGTCATTTTGAGGTGAGTGGACGACTACGTGTCTTGTAACTCTTGGGTCAAACGTGGGATTACCTAAATAAAATCCTTATCATGATTTGATAAATGATTAAATGGATTAAAATGCATGATTAGTCATGGTGAATATGAATTATGGAAATATTACATGATTAATGAATAAGAGATTTATTTGTGGATTAATCATGAATATATTATTGTCAAATGTATGAAAATGCATACATGGACTATGTAGGAGATAACTAGAGTAATCTAGTATGTGAATATGTATAGAAATGTTTAAAGGTGTTTAAACATTTGATTAGCTATAATGATTATAAGTTATGTGAAAATGGCATGATTAATGAGTAAAAGAATTATTAATATTTTTGATGAAGGATAATCATGAATGATTTAGTTGGACATTAACTAAGGTAATTCAAGATGGTATTCTTGAAGGATTCAAGTACTTAATCATACATGTCATTAAATTAAATCTAGTTATGAAGAATAAACTAGAACGAAATATATAAACGATTAATAAGTATGAAGTACTTATTAATAGTTTTGTGAAGACGGCTTTATGCTTTATAACTTTTGAGTGAGACATGAGATTACTTAAAGTAATCAAGAATATATTTTATGGAATGATTAAAGATAATCAAGTATGTGTTATTCCATGATTATATGAAAAATATAGTTGAAAAGCATGTTAAGTAAGCTTGATGATTAAAAATGTGATAATTAATTATGTATGATGTTCCAAGGACCCAAAAAGGTATTTTTGGATTAAGGACGTCAAGAAGTACATGTGTATAAAATTTCACGTTAATCGGACTTCGTTTGGGAGGTCAAACGGCCGTTGAAAGTCAAGACAAAAGTAATACCCGACCGGGTATTGGTAAATACCCGACCGGGTATTGGTTAAAAATGGTTCCAGGAGCCACTGCCACACTAGACCCGACCAGGTATGGGTATAGACCCGACCGGGTATTAGTTAAAAACCGTCCCAGGGGCTACTGGCTCACCCTACCCGACCGGGTATGGGTAATACCCGACCGGGTATTGGGTTTTACACCCAATATGCAGTTTTTGAGTAAGTTTACGTGGGCCGTTCGAGTGGGACCCGTCCACGTTGGTTGCTAAGGCTTCGAATATGGTTTAAACGCTAAGACTTGGACTAGTCGTTAGTAAAGAAATTATAGACCACGACCGGGTGAGGTAAGTGGTAGATTATACATGACGGGTGAATACTCGGGACCGAGTAAGGTCAGGTAAAACTCTATAGGACCAGGATGAGTCCTTTATACTCAAATGTTAACAAGGGCCCATGTAGTCCTTGAGGTGTGTTAACCTCCAGCAAATTACACATAGGTAACAAGGGCAAATGCAGTCCTTGAGGTGTGTTAACCTCCATCAAAGTGCATATACGTAACAAGGGCCCGTGTAGTCCTTGAGGTGTGTTAACCTCCAGCAAATTACACATAGGTAACAAGGGAAAATGCAGTCCTTGAGGTGTGTTAACCTCCATCAAATTGCATATAGGTAACAAGGGCCCATGTAGTCCTTGAGGTGTGTTAACCTTCAGCAAATTACACATAGGTAACAAGGGCAAGTGCAGTCCTTGAGGTGTGTTAACCTCCATCAAATTGCATATAGGTAACAAGGGCCCGTGTAGTCCTTGAGATGTGTTAACCTCCAGCAAATTACACATAGGATAAGGGTGTATGCGTACTCCTCAAGGCGGGGTTAGCCCCGGGAATGTAAACTATGATTGTAAGGACGAATAGTCCCCGAGGTAGGTGAACCTCAAGTAATGATTTTAGATGATTAAACATGCGTGATCGGGAATGAGTTCCCGATAGGATATTTTCCTTGGTCTAGGAATTTAATTTAAATCATGACTGTGATATGGGAGCCCGAAAGGCCCCCGAAATAATTATCTTTGTTATCGAGTGAGTTAGCCTGCGGGTGACTTCACTCGAGGGTTTCACATGGGAAGGGTGAATTTAATGAGGCTGTTACGCATAAATGATTTGAAAGACAAATAGGCCCACGGGCCGGATATTTTACTCATATGTATATACATATACGATATGTTTTGAAAAGGGGTAGCCAAGAGTTATGCCTATACATATACTATCACCCTATGTTGAGGGTCCCATGTGAGAAACATTAGTTATATTACATACAGTTTGCCCTCGCCAGTACTTTTCTGTAGTACTGATCCCTCGGGGGAACCACCCTTTCAGGTTGAAGCTAGAGCTTACTTCCTGCACCCGTTGTTCGGAAAATCGATAGAGAGAAGATGTGGTTCGTGCTTCCTCTAGTTCTATTTCTAAATAATTAAATAATGCTCATGGAACTATTTTTGACTTATAAACTAATGGAGCCTGCGAGCTCTTATTTTACCCTCGTGTGGGTTCTTATTAAACACTTATATTCTGCTATGTGTTTAATTGTATGTTGATGTTGTTATGTATGTTTACTAATCGGTTTTGGCATATGTATCTATCGGACGTCTTGTGCAATTTGGTAAGGATGAACTGCGGTTATTCTTATTGAGTTGTACGACGGTTGTCTACGTGGCACAGACACGGTCTGGAGCGTGACAGATCCGCTGTTAGTGGAGAACCACCCTTAGATCCAAAGTAGCACCCTCTAGGCTCTAGTTAGTTGTTATGATGAAGCTCTTGGACGATGAGTATTACCCATATGATGATGAGCCCTCCGTTAAATCCCTTGACTACCGAGTAGTAGAGGAGTGCTGTGAGGAGATAGAGGATTTGAGCTCCTTCAAATCAGAGGAGCAGGAAGGTAGCGAAGGTGAAGACGAAGAGGCCGCCTCATCGTCTGACGGTGAAGACGTAGTGGTCTCCCGTGTTGTGGACGGAGCGTCTACCTCGGCTGCAATTCCTTGCCCGAAACCGGTTTCTGCTGTGAAGGGGGCTGCTCCGACGAGAAGGCGTCGGCCGAAGAAGGGTCCAGGTTACTCCTACCTGGACCTCACGAACATTTATCTGATCAAGCCGGAGAGCAGCGCGACTGATTACCTGGTGGCCCAGATGTATGTGGGGCCGTATGGGAGGGTTAGGGCGCCCAAGCGACGGATCATGTGTTGAATCCACCTTCGGGGTATTTTGGCGTATACCCCATGAGTTTTGCGAAGGGGCTTAGGTTTCCCCTCCACCCGTTTGTTACGGATTACCTGGACATGGTGGGTCTCCCTCCGGCCTTGTTGACCCCGAACAGCTACTCACTCATCGTCGGTTTCCTCCTCCATTGCGATGAACTAGACTTTAGGCCGACGACGGCTCTCTTCATGAATTTGTACCAGATCGACCGAGGGAGTCACAAGAATTGTGCCGGCTATGCCAACCTTCAACAGCTGTCGAAGAAAAGGAGTTTTACTGACCTTCCATCGTCCATTCATGGTTGGAAAAGCAAGTTCGTCTTCGTGTCGTTGGGCGAGGACGACACCGAATTTCCCTCCGTCGGCCATGATGGGAGATTCAGCCTCCATGATGTGCCGAAGAGCGGCATTTTGGATGCCCAGGTGGCTGCATTTCTGAAAGGAGGGCCGAGGAGCGTAAAAGAGTACATAACGGAGTATAAGATGACCGCTCTCGGTTTCTTCAGGTACTTCGTCTATGGTGACAAGGAGAGTGACACCGAGATGTGGCCGAGGATGACTACCACTTTTGAGGAGGCCGATGGCCCGGATTTGGGTGTGCCCGCTGATGCTGATGGTAATACCCTCCCTGGCGCCTTCGTTCATATTTGCTTTTGTTTTTGCTAACTGTCTTTCGTTTTCCTTGCCGTGCAGACTTCGTTATGGATCGCAGATCCGTCATGGCCCTTGCAAAGGCGAAGGCAAAGGAGGAAATGGCAGCCAAGGAGGCCACAAAGCTGGCGGCTGCAAACGGCGCGCAGCCGAGCTCCGATGTGCCGAAGAAGCCACCCACACAGCCGAAGAAGAAACGGCCAGTGGATGACAACCAGAGGAAGCTGATCGAGGCTGGTATACAACCCAAGAAGACGAAGAGGGCTTCCCCTCTGGCTGATGCTGACGCCGGGGGTCTGACCATGTCGGCCGATGATGTCGGGGGTTCTAATGCCGTTTCCGTTGTTGATGCGGTTTCGGTCCCCTCCTCGACTACTATGTCCCAGCCGCCTCCTGCCGACCAGGAGCCCCGGAAAAAGAGGGCCGGCAAGGAGCTGGCCGTTGGGACATACAAGCTCGAAGTTGAGTACCCTGTAAAGGGTGGCGTCTTCAATGACGCCGTTGACGGCCATGACGTGCTTGCTCAAGCCGTCCTGGCCGAGGACCGGGCTTACCTGAAAATGCTCAGCCCCGTCAGGATCTATGACGGTGGGATGGACCTTATCATCCAAGTAAGTTCTTTGTACTTTACATCTTTTGGTGTCATGAGTCTTCGCATCGTCCTAACCTTTTTTCTTTGTTGCAGGGTGCCCTTATGCTGATGGAGAGCCATATGCGGCAAGAACAAAAGATTGCCCGGTTGAAGGAGGCCGAGAAAAAAGCTGCTTCAGTCGAGGAGGCCATGGCCTGCCTGGATCGTCTCCGGGAAGAGGTGAAGGCCTTGCAGAAGGGTGTTGATGAGGCCGATGTGGCCTATCGTCAGGTGGCAGCCGACAGGGATGATGCTTTGAGAGCAAGGGATGAGGCGTTGCGGAGCCGCGATGATGCTCTGCTCCGGTCCGAGGATGCCGTGAAAGCGCAAGCTGACACCGAGAGGGCTGCTGAGAAGGCTGTTGACGGTGCCATTGAGAAATTCCTGCCCGAAGGCTGGAAGGCTGAGGACCGTCGGCCCTGGTGCTACGAGGTAGTGGCGGATCGTCTTGAAGACTGGGCCCAGAACTGCCCTGCTAGCCAAGAATATTTTGCCCGGGAGATGTCTGTTTATCACGACATGGGCCAGCAGAGGATGCAACGGCTGATCTACCGGAGGCTACACCGGTCTTTTAAGAAGTTGAAGCTTACCCAGAAATGGGCCAACAAGAACTTGAAGCTCCCGAGGCTGATGAAGGACCCGGAGGCCGAAGTAAAGCTCCCTCCCTCTGAGAGGCAAGACCTGATACTTAGCTCCTCGATCGGTGAGCCGGATTGGTCCGATGATGATGACGCCTTAGCCGACACCGCTGTCTCCTCAGCAGCCGGGGCCAGTGGAGATGTGAGGGCAGAGGAGGGCACCGAGGTTGCTTTTGAGCAAGCCGTTGGGGGGGTTGCTTGCTGATGAAGTCGCCCCAGAGAACTGATCGGCTGACTTTTCTTTTTTGTGTAGTTCAGTAGTTTTCTTTTGTAATGGCCGTTGTGCCCCCCCTTTGTACCTTCGCTTTTAATGAATGAATATATCTTTTCCGGCCTTATAGTATGTCCTCCTCGTCTTTCTTTTTCCTTTCGCTTTAGTTTTCAAGCGTTACAAAATGTTTCCAAGTGTTGAAGTTAGGACTTGGATAATTGTTGTCTTTGGTTGTTTCCTCCGGCCGCGGCCGGAGTGGGTAGCTTAGGTGAGCATGTTTCGTCTATAAGGAACACCCCTTAGTTTTAGCAAGACCTTAGAATTTCTTCTAAGTGTTGGACTTCAAGTGATTGAGTGTCCGCTTCGTCTTGGCGTTACCCCTCTTTTTTCACAGTTTAGAAAATTTTCTAAGTGTCAAACTAAGTAGTTCCTTTAGTTCGGGGCCTTCGTCAGCCAATATGGCCGGTGTGGATAGCTTCCTACGCCGAGGTGATTTCATCGGCCTGTGTACTTTTTCGGCCACCGTGTATTCTTCGTCCTGTGTCATTCCTTATTCCTTGTGTCACTTGTAATTTTTCCAAGTGTTTAAACAAGAACTCATAAGCCTGATTCCTGTAGTTGTAGCCGATGAGGGGACATGTCCTTTGCTCGGCCGAGGGGGAATGTCTACTTCATCTTTGTGATGTTTGATGTCACACTTTTGTGGACTTCTCTAAGTGTCTAGCTTAGAAAATTTTGGAAATCGTTCTAAGTGTTGGATAGACCAGATCCTTGTCCTCGTCGGCCGCTCTGGATGTTACTCAGGGATTTCTCCAAATACTCAGAAATTTTTTCTAAGTGTTTGAACACACTTGGGCAATTGCTTCCTTTGTGAGTGGCTGATGACGGCTTCCCTATTGGGTTATCTGATGCCGGCTATGTGGTGCCCCTTTTCGGCCCCAGGAGTTTACCTTAGTAATTTTGTCCAAGTTTTTTTGAGAGCTTTCGTCAATAATACGTAATGCTTTGCCTGATATGTACTTAGACAATTTTGGGGATTTTATTTTTTATTGCTCGAGGCCGGCGAGTGCGCGGCTCATCGGCTTCCCTCTTTTATTTTTGGGGATATCGCTTCAGGCCGGCAAGTGCGCGGTCCTTACAGGAAGTAAGGAGTCATACTGGATCGTCCTGGGATCTCAAGGAGGTCTCGTCCCCTGTTTATGACGCGGGCTAAGGATTTTGGTCGGTTACCGACGGCTGCCGTTTCTCATCCTTGAGTTTGGGGATTTTTGTCACCTCGGCCATGATTTCAGACCTGTCGTCCTGCTGATTTCGCGGATAGATGACGCGGTGAGCTTCCCATTTCAAGACGTGGGCTCTTTGCGGGCCCTTCGTCCTGGGGACACCGTCGGCCTTTCCTGGGCATTTTCGCCATGAGGGGCCTATACGGTGTGCTCTGTTGACCTTTCCTGAGCATTTTCGCTCTGAGGGGTCGATGTAGTGTGGTACATTTTTCTGATCTTTGAAAAAGAACAACTTTTATTGATAAGTGGCTCGAGGCCGAGGGTGGCGTTCGATCAACAATCCATGGGAAGGTGAGGGCTTTGCCGGCTGCACCGTCCCCGGATTATTGATAGAATTTCACCAAGTGATGTACATTCCACGTTCGTGGTACATTGGACCCATTCGGGTGTTTTAGTTTGTAGGTGCCGGGTTTGACCACGGCACTGACGATGTAGGGGCCTTCATACTTGAGTGCCATCTTGCCACCTTTCGTCGGCTTGCTCGCCTCTCTTCGGCGAAGGACATAGTCCCCCACCTGGAATTCTCGGGAACGTACCTTGGCGTCATAGTATGATTTTACTTGACGCCGGTAGTTCTCTGCTCGGATGAAGGCCTGCTCCCGTCTCTCTTCGATCAGGCGGAGATCAATCTTCATGCTTTCTTCATTGGCCTCAGGCTCATAGTGTTCCGCCCGTCAGCTAGGTATAGTAACCTCTGTGAGAGCCTTTGCTTCAAAACCATAGCAAAGGGCAAAGGGTGTTTCGCCCGTTGCCCTCCTCGGCGTAGTCCGGTAGCACCGCAGAATATTGGGGAGCTCATCGGCCCAACTGCCCCCTGCGTCCTGGAGCTTCTTCTTCAGGCCCTCCAGGATGGTTCTGTTGGCGTTCTCGACCTGCCCGTTGCCTTGAGGATAGGCAATGGAGGAGAAACGTGGTTTGATTCCCCATTCCTGGAGGAGCTCTTGAAAGGGTGCGGCCTCGAACTAGGAACCGTTGTCGGATATGATCTCATGAGGGACGCCAAAGCGGGTGAGGATGTTTTTGTGGACGAATCTCTGACACCTAGCCCCTGTGATGCTGGCCAAAGGTTCCGCCTCAACCCATTTGGTGAAGTAGTGTACGGCGACGATGATGTAGCGGTTGTTGCCAGCGGCTCTGGGCAGGGGGCCGACCAGGTCAATACGACAATACCCCATCTTGAGAATGGGATCGTTGTGCTGACCTGGGCGTAGTTGACGGCTGGCCGACCAGGGGCTTTCTGAAGGACCTGGCATGCGGTACACTTTCTTGCAAGATTGGCACTATCCCGCGCCATCGTCGGCCTGAAATAGCCCTGGACGCCGATTTGGAGAGGAAACGGTTTAGGGCCGCAAGGCGTCCCGTCAGCCGTTGTACCTCCTTCACGTTTCGCGGTGGCTCCATGTTGACAATAGCCTATATCTTCTCTGGGTTGATCTCAATGCCCCTTCGGCTGACCATGTAACCGAGGAACTTGCCCCCCTGGACGCCGAAGGTGCACTTATTCGGATTTAGGCGGAGCTGGAACTTCTTCATTATCTCAAAAATTTCTCGGAGGTCGTCGGCGTGGCTAATGGATTGCTTGTTCTTGACGATCATGTCGTCGACGTATGCCTCCATCGTCCGGCCGAGGACTGCTCTGAAGACCTTGGCTACCATTTCTGGTGTATGTGGCGCCTGAGTTCTTGAGCCCAAAGGCCATGACGAGGTAACAGAAAATTCCCTCCGGGGTCATGAAGGACGTCTTCTCAGCATCATCCTCATGCATGAATATCTGGTGGTACCCCCTGAAGGCGTCAAGAAACGACATCAACTCGCACCCCGCCGTCTCGTCCACCAATTGATCAATGTTGGGGAGAGGGAACGGGTCCATGGGGCATGCCTTGTTCAGGTCAGTGTAATGAATGCACATTCTGAACGTCGGCGGCTTCTGGGCGAGGATGACGTTGGCCAACCAGGTCGGGTACTTCACCTCTTTTATGTGGTTGATTGAGAGGAACATGGTAACCTCCCCTTTGACAAAGTCACACCTGTCGGCCGAGAGGTAGCGCCGCTTCTCCTTGATCAGTGTGGAGGCGGGGTCGACTGACAGCCGATGAGTGATCACTCTTCGGCTGATGCCTGGCATGTAATCTGGCCCCCACGCAAAAATGACCGCATATGTCCGCAGGACGTCGAGGATGCCTTCGCGTTAGTCCTGTGGGAGTTGTTTCCCGATTTTCAGGACCCGCTCTGGCCGGGAGGTATCCAGGGGGACCTCCTCGACCTCTTCGGCTGGCTCGATGTGCGGCTTTTCTTCGTCTTTGGAGACGGCGATGGTGATGGTGTCTATTCTCTGCCCGGCGCTGGCTGCCGGCTTTGTCAGTTTCAGGTAGCATGCCCGGGCTATCTTATGGTTCCCTCGGGCATAGCCGATACCGCCGCTAGTAGGGAACCTCAGGCATAGATGTTTCATGGAGATAATGGCTTCCAAATCCTCTAGTGCTGGCCGCCCCCATATCAAGTTGTGGGCACACTCGAGGTTGACCACCATGAATTCCATGTCGATCTTGATGCGATGTGAGTCGTCGCCGACCTCCACGGGGAGGACTATCGTGTCGTCGACGTCGATAGAGTCCCCAGTGAAGCCGGACAACGGTGTTCGTATCGGCTTGAGCAGCGCTCTGTCCAGCTTTAGCTGCCTGAAGGTGTCAAGGTACATGACGTTGCCAGAGCTCCCCGTGTCGATGTAGGTGCGTTGGATGATAGAGTCACCTATTTCGCACCGGATGACGAGGGCGTCCATGTGTGATGCGGGCCCCCAAGGCAGATCCTTGTCTGTGAAGGTGATTGCCTCCGCCCATTGCTTCTTCGGCTGGGGGGAGCGTGGGACACCTCCCCGATGTAAAAGGATTGGGCCCATTTCTTCCTCTGGGTGGCCGAATCCCCCAGTGTTACCCCCCACAATGAGGTTGATGTGGTTCTTCTTCGGAGGGGGCTCTTCGAAGTCTTCGTCGTCATCACTGAGTCTGCCTATCTCACGCTTCTTCGTAGAGGGTTCGCCCCCATTTTTTCCGGTGTTTACCCACGTATTTTTGCGCGGGCCACCTTTAACAAATTGGGAGAGCTCCCCCTGACGAATTAGTTTTTCGATGGCTCTCTTCAGAGTGACGCAGTCGTCCGTGTTGTGGGAGGTGTTCCTGTGATAGCGGCAGTAGGTGTCGCCCTGATGGACGACGTACATCCCCTTGGCCGACCGAGGATCTCGCTCGATGAGGTCGTGCTCCTCGGCATAATCGAGGATGGAGCTGACCGGATGAGTGAGTGGGATCTTTGGCCTTTCCATCCTCGGCCGCCACACGCGGTCTTTGTTCTTTCCGCTAGCCCCGTGGTGGCCTTGTCCTCCCTGACCTCGGTCCCCAGCCGAGGGCGCGCCTGCAGCTGGCGCGACGTTTGTCTTCTTGGATGGGTGCCCTCAATCTTTCTTGTGGCTGTGGAGCTCGTCGGCATCAGCGTACAAGTTTCCTCGCTGAAGCGCCTTCAATTAGGACCTCGGTGGGTCAGTGATGAGGCTCCTCGCATACGGGGTGTTGCGGAGGGCGCCCTGGAAAATAACAAGGAGGGTGCGCTCATCGGCCCCCTCGACCTCATCAGTTTCCCTCGTCCATCAGTCGATGAATGACCGGAGTATTTCGTCATGCTGCTGCTTGACGGAGAGGAGATGGGTGAAATACTTCTTCGCGCGCTTCCTTCTGGCAAAGTGAGTGAGGAAGCGCTGGGCAAGGTCTTGCCATGAGTCTATTCTCCCCTTGGGGAGTGCGTTGAACCACTCATACGATGGCCCTTCAAGAGTGGAAAGGAACCAGCGACAGAGGTATTCATCTGACGCGTTCACCATCAGCATGTTGTTCTGGTAGCGGCTGAAGTGCTCCTGGGGGTCGGAGCGGCCGTCATAGGGCTTGATGGCGTTTCCCCGGTACTTCTCGGGGATAGGGGCCGAGAGTACCCCGACGGTGAAGGGGGTCCTCGTCCTGACCTGGATGATGGGGTCCCCTCATCCTTCGGCCAACTCCCTCTCAAGGATGGTGACCTTGTTCAGAAGGGTGTTGAAACCGGGATCTCAGGATGAGTTGTCGGTGGATGTGGCGGCCAGCTGTTTGGCCTCCATCTGGGCGAGCCTCCACTCGAGTTGGGTGATCACCTCGTCCCTGGGGTCCTTGGTGGCCATGGTGGCGCCCTGAGTCTGCAAGCGGGCTACATGAGCCATGTTGATTTGGTGACGGGCATCATCCTCATGCAGTTTCCCCTTGCCTTTGTCCAGGCGGGGCCGGTCCGCTGTCTGGGATACCGACCCCAAGCTTTCCCTGTGTGAGCCAGGCTCACGCTGCCCAATCCGCCCCGCCATCCTCTCCGAAGCAGGCCGACGCCACGTGTCACCTAGCCTGTTAAAGGCTGAGGCTTTTCCACGGGCTGGGGTCGGTCTAGCTCGAAGCGGGGAGGCAGGGTGGGAGTGGGACGATGTCGTGTCCTGGGGCACCACCCCCTCATCATTGCCTAGCCTGACGGCCAATGGCTGGGGCTGAGGAGGCGGTGTCATGTTCTCCCTCGTCCTTGGCATGAGTGTGCTGAGGACGGTGGGGTTCTGGGCCAAGCTGGTGATGATGGCCAAGAGTGCGGCCTGGAGTTAGGGGTCAACAGCCGGGGAGGCTGGTTGCGCCGAGACGTCGCCCTTTTCTGCGCGCTTTTTGTCCAAGCCGATGCGGGCATCAGGGGCGCCGCCGTTGAGGTTGTTGCGTAGGTCTCCTGCGAGGTCGATGGCTTCCTGGAAGACATCCCCCCTCGGCGGCCTTGTCGACCGTAGCGTCCTCCTCGTGCTCTTGGTTTTCCTGTGCCTTAGGGATGGCCTTGCTGAGGAGGTTGCGGTTTGACTTAGTTCTTCCCATTGTTAGTTAGCTGCACTTGGTAGCGACGAAGGAGGCTAACTTGATTGTTCTGGCTCTCAATGAAAGCACCAAATGATGGACTGTAAGTCTAGAGAGAAGTGAGAGCTAGAGAGAGAAGTGAGAGCTAGAGAGAGAAGTAGTATATTTGCTTTGTATTAATGAATTGTGAACCCTTATAACTACTCCCAGAGGGAGTATTTATAGAAAAAATTAGGGCTGGGCTCCCAAGTCTTGGGCTTGGGAGGCCCATCTACAATAGGGCCACTAATGGGCCGGATACAAAGTACATAGAAAAGATTAAGTGTAAATCCTATTCTGGAGACTGTCTAGGGCCGACGAGGGCACGAACGACGAGGGCATGGCCGACGAAGACCCGACCGATGAGGTCACCCGGCTCTTCCCGGCTTCTGGATCACATTTTGAGTAGACTTCTTTCTGGCCGATGGGGGTCATCTGGCCGACGAGGGTCCCACCCGGTGGTCGTGGTACCTTCCGTTCTCCTGAGTATGTGGGCCCTGGGGTCCAGGCCCATATACTCCATCAAATATCATGATCCAACTCACGGTTCTTTTATTGTGAACACTTTCAAAAGCAACACAATAAAAAAATCTTGCATTTTACTTTAATTACTGTTTAAATATACACGACTCTAAGAAATAACAATAATACACTCCTCTATCCTAAATCATTTTTCAAAAATGATATACGAGTTTGACTTAACATAAGTTAATCATTCCCTTACAGATTTTTACGTCAGTGATAGCAACAAAAAGATGGGCATCTTAAAATGACTTTAAAAGTTCTATTGACCAATTATTTTAACGAATATATTTATGTCAAATTTAATAATTGTGTGCTTTTATGATAGTAGTTTTAACAAAGATCATTTTCATATTATCAATACTTCTATATATAAATATTTAATCGGTAAAAGTTGAAAACCATTGATTTGAAAAGTCAAGTTTGACTAACTAAAATGGGACGGATGTAGTATTTCTCATCTTAATCCATATAAAAGTAACTCTACTAGGGCATGTCCAGGCTGTTACACAGGTCAATATATAATCTGTTGCATGTGGATACACAACCTCAACCAATATAAACCAACTTGGAATATATAAAAGTGTTCCTAATGACATATAAATTATTTAAAGTATTACAGAAAAACTAAAACATAATCATACCATATTTGGTACCATTTGTAATTACAAGCAAAGAATCACAAATTAACCACAAATACAAGGCCTAAATCAGATAAATGAGCTAGAAGTGGTACCCAAAATTAATATGGCACGTATGTAGTTAGACTCATAGGATTAAGAGTCCGTTTGGTGAGCCTGTTTTTCGGCTTATTGGGCTTATTAGCCAACTTTTTCAACAAACACGTAACTATTGATTTCACGCGTTGAATTGTGTAATAATAAGAAAACATAAGATTGAAGTTACTTTTCTGGTTGTATTGACTGAAGTTACCGTAGAAGATCATTTTAGCTATTTTTAATATAATTTTTTCTTTATTTTAATAATAAAATATATTTTATTTATTTTTTCATAAATCAACAGAATTAGCCAATACAACCACTTCAGCTAGAAGCCCAGAACTTCATAAGTATCAGCAGAAACAGCCGATTCAGCCGATTTCATTGTTACCAAACATGCTCTAAATCATTGCATAAACACACCCGTAAATACTTGCAGGTATTGGAATAAGCAAGCCTCTACGTATTTACCTTCCCACAAATTGAATAGCATATGGAGTTTAAGAATGAGTTAAAAACAGGAATTTGACAAGGTTCTAATCATGGTGTAGTCGGCTGTTATGTCATAATAAAAGGGGTGTAAGTGAAAATTCATAAAATAGAAACAATCGTTACATTTTTATCTACATATGGGAAGGTGAGCATGATTTATCAAAACATAAGGGATTTTCATTCTTTTTAAAAACACAAGAAGATTGTGTGCATGATTTATATAACACAGGGGGATTTGGTGCAATTTACTCTCTTCCAGAATCATAGCCCCAAAACCGAAGGCCCATTAAGGTTTGACAAGCAGGATTCGGAGCAGCCCAAGGTGGTGCACATTTCAATTTCACTTAATATATACTTTAGTTTCATTTAATGCACATTCAATTCATATAATACAATCCAATTGTTCATTCATTCTCATTTTTCTCATAATATCATTGTTCTCATTTCACAAAATTCTCATTTTGACCATCATTATGTATAATTCTTTATTAGTAAAAAGAAGGGAAAATAGCCTCAAATAGGATCAAATTGTTGTTGAAATTCTCAAATAGGAGTAAGCACAATTTTATTCCCTAAATAGGACTGTTCTTCCAATTTTACCCTTCCAATTCATTTCAACCCTTCGGCCCCTCATAACCTTCGTCGCACTCATCACTGTTGCATCTCTGCGCATAGAAAGGCTTCAACGACATGGGAGCGGTGAGCAGCGAGCGCCATGAGAAGCGTCGTCGAACAGCGGTGGCGAGCGCCGGAGAGAGGCGGCAGCGAGCGTGAGGTCTCTCTTCTCCGCACTCCTCCGACTTCAATATTAATTCATCTGAATCTGGTGTGGTTGCTGTGGTGTCGAGATTTGGGTCTTCTTCTCTCTTCTTTGCATCCATGTTGTCTCTTTGTGTTTTCTTTTGCTTTATACGAATGTTTTTGAGCTTTTTCTGTAGTTTTTCTTCTTCTTCTTCCTTATGTTTCAGTTTTGAAATTGCTGTGTTTGTCAATTGTAAGGAATAAACGGGACCAACATCAATAATGGTGAAATAAAACTGGCGTTGTTTACTTCTTGTTACAATTGCCATTTTTTTTGAAAATGTCATAAAAATGTCAGTTTTATTCTTTAAAAATTCCATATTTTTCTTTGAAAATTCCATTAAGATAGCATTTTCGATTTATGTTGGCATTTTCATAAAAAGGTTGGCATCAATGGTGGCGCCAGCTAGATCTGCCGTAGCAGAGGCCGGATCTGTGGTGGAGGCTGCCGGATCTGAAGTGGTGGTGGTTGGATATGTGGTGGAGGCTGCCGGATCTGAAGTGGTGGCGGTTGGATCTGCAATGGTGGCAGTCGCCGGCAGGCGGAGGCCCGATCTAGGGAGACGGTGGCCAGATCTACGGTGGTGGCGATCAGATCGGCAGCTAGTTTTGAGGCTGCGGCGGCGACCGGAGGTGACCGGAGGTGGCCATTTAAATTAAGAAATATGTGACTAAAATTAATTCATTCTCCTCTGCACAAATTTCAATCACATAGTTTTTATTTTATTAATTTACGTGAAAGTCAACTTTGTTCAACCTTTTCAGAACGGGGGAATAATTAATTACTCCCTCCGTCCCATAAAATAAGTCTCATTTCAATTTGGATCGGAGTTTAAGAAAGTGGGAATAAAGTGAAAATTTATGGTTGTGGTTGAGTAAGAAAAAGGTAAATGAATGTTAGCCACACAAAACTTTCCAAAAAAGGAATGAGAACAATTTTTTGGGACAACCCAAAAAGGAAAATGGAACTTATTTTATGGAATTGAGGGAGTATTAATTTACGTGAAAGTCAACCTGTCCCCCTACTTCTTGGAACGTCCCAACAATTCTTCCCGTATCACCTTTTGGAAAGGTTTGTGGGGCCACCGTTTGTTTACTTTAATTCACATCAGACCGGGAAGAAATTTGCGAAGCAGAAAGAGCGGTGAATTAGAATAGTCAATAGAGTAAAAAAAAAATCAATGTTGTCGTTCAAAAGAAATCGAGGACAGTATATAGTTTGTTCCCCCTAATCCTCCTTTGAAAGTTTGAAACCATGGCGCCTGAATCTAAAAAAAAACGCCCTGTAGCATCTTCGGACGAAGACGCAACATCTTACGCAACGTCTGATGAAGACGAAAAGATGTCCGAGCATGAAGTAATAATTGATCAGAAACCTGAATCGTCTTTTGAATCTGAGGAATCCTCTGCGGAATCCGATTGCAGCACTGAAGAAGAGGACGAGGGAGAAACAACCCATGCACCTCCAGTTTTGAAGCCAAACTCTGGTCAGGAACCTCAATCATCTTACGAATATGAGGAATCCACTACCGATTCCCAGGAAACTCAGGCCCCACCAACCGCATCCGACTTAGCCCTACTGTCCCGTGTAACTTCCAAGACTACTTCGACTTTGTGCCCAAACGTTCCCGAAGCTTCGAAGCAATTATCTTCAAGGCCATCCGGAAAGCGTGCCTTGGAAGCCGAAAAGAAAGTTTCCCAGAAAAAGAAGCCTGGGGCTAAAAGACGTTGGAGCGAGGAAGATGAGATTGCCATCCTCAAGGAAAAGATTGACTACGAAGCCCAAGGAGGGGCCAAGGGTTGTTCTATTCTCTTCTATGACTTCATGAAGGATAAATGGAATGTTTCTGTTGCCAGGACTTGCTTAACCGATAAGCTTAGGAGGCTTAAAAAAAACTTCCTGACCCTTTATGAAAAAGGTGATGTCCCTACTTTTGATAGCCCTCACGAGTCTATGGTTTATGAACTTTCTGAAAAGATTTGGGGCACTTCTAGTAATGCCAATGCTAAAAGTGCTGATGGTACTATTGATACTGCTAAACCAATTGCAAAAAATGCGAATGGGGAGGTAAAAAGGCTTGCTGAGGAAAACGTCATTAGCCACTCCATGAATGCAGTTGAATCTGAAGCAGTGACTGAAAAGAAGAAGAAGTTTGCTCTTAAAGACAAAGAGAATGAGAAGACAAAGAAGCGGAAGCCTGCTCCAGAGGAAATGTATGAGAAAACTGCTCCTGTTGAAAAAGATAAGAAAACTGCTGGTAAGGTTGAGCACAACCATTCTGCCTCTAAGGAGAAAGACAGCCATACTGATAAGAAGAAGAAAAAGAAGAGGAAAACTTCTCCAGAGGGAAAAGATGAACGAACTGCTGTTGTTGAAATAGATAAGCAAACTGCAGGTAAGGTTGAAGGCAGCCATTCTGCCTCTAAGGAAAAAGACAGCAAGACTGATAAGGGTAAAAAGAAAAAGAAAAAGAAGAATGGTCTAGAGGAAAAATATGAACAAACTGCTGTTGTTGAAAAAGATAAGCACACTGCCAGTAAGGGTAAAGACAACCAGACTGATAAGATGGAAAAGAAAATGCCGCAGAAGACTGCTCCAGAGGAAAAGGATGAACAAACTGATGTTGTGGAAAAATATAAACAGTCTGCTGATATGGGTAAAGACAACCATTCTGCCTCGGAGGAAAGATACAGCCAGGCTGGTGCTAAGGTAAATGATGGAAAAGGTGAAGCAAATCATGGTGAAGCAAAGAATGAAGAAGAGGAGTTTCAGTACAAATACCCTTACTTGTTTAAATCTTTCAATAAGAAAAACTATCCAAAGAGTGATCAGGAGACATTGGATGTGTTGAAGAAAAATGTGATTCTGATTGATAGTTTCAAAGCCGCTGAGCTTGAGGAGATGTGGATCAAGCTATGGGAACAAAAGGTTGAGTGCTGTGTGAAGTTGGGAGATATGTCAGCACTGCAAGCCAGATTTATGCTTGATGCTATGAAGAGGTAATTGTGAACATTGCCACGTCTGATTAATGTATGACATGTAGCATATTTTTTTGCACTTTTGAAAACTAAACTTGGGATTTTGCTGCTCTTAGACTGCTAATATTGATGCTACTATTAAGATGAATGCCTTTTTGAATGCACAGAATGGGATATTGTGCTTAAAAAGTTGTACATTATTGATTATTGCTAAAAACGCAGCCTTACTTTTCATGTGACTTGTTTACCCTTTAATATCCCACTTTGAAACTCCTCTACCGTATCTTCATTGATATGGCTGAAAGGCATGTTCTGCACAAATGGCGTCAGAAGGTCGGAGCCTGGAACATATGAATCGCCGCCTTTGCCTAATTTAACCTTATTTTCATGAATATAGTGGCTATAAATCATAGGTCACATCTCTGGTCTCCAGAGCAACCTATCGCAGGCAAGTTGAATACCATCTTCATATTAGCAGCATGTTTTCATTTTATAATTATCTCATTAAAGACTATTAATCCAAATGGGTGAATTCCATTACAAAAAAAGGATGACCCCATCCCTGGACGGTACTTGCAGAGGTCCTATGCATTTTTAGCATAGTAACCCCTTATTACAGTTGTCGGGATTCGACCGCGGGACTTAACCCTTACGGCACTCCCTTTCTACCAGTTGAGCTACGCCCACCGGTATGAATTCCATTACAAATTTGAGGAAATAGAGAAGTGTCAATAATCTTGTGGAATGAATTGGTTGCCAGGGATATCTCAGCATGTATAGTTTCATGCTCACAAACATTTTTGTTTCAATTGGAAGTGTTTATAGATTATCTTTTCTTGAATATTGAATTATATTGTTTGCAAGATAGTATTAGTAAAACTCAGTTGAGACAAGCTCAATGCGTCTAGAGATACATCTCTTTGGTTAATGAACAAATAAAATTGGTCAATGAACAAATAAAATAACCCATTATTTGTATATTTGGTATAGGCTCTTGCATAATAGCTTATCTTTTTTTATATTCTTTTCATAATAGCTTATCTTTTTATTTTTATTCCTTCTTTTCCTTTTGGTTGTGATATCATGTATCGATTCATGTTAGCCAACCCCAATATCTTTTGGGACTAAGGCTTGGATGTTGTTGTTGTTGTTGGTATAGGCTCTTGCACATATAAAATTATAAATGATTGCATGAGTAAAGTCTTTATTAAGGAATAAAGAGCGTGCCGGGATTTGAGTTTAGAGCCTTTAGAGTTTTTGACAGGAGTAAAATCTGCTACACATCGAGGCCGTTTGGTAAGACCGAAATTGGCTTAATCGACTGATTCTGCTGAAATTTCTGAAGTTCGACTGAAGTGCATGCTTCTGCTGATTTATGAAAAAATTATTTTTAAAATATATTTCATTAATAAAATAAAGAAAAAAAAATATGAAAAATAGCTAAAATGATCCTCTACAGTAACTTCAACCAATACATCTAGAAAAGTAACTTCAACCTTACTTTTTCTTATTATTACAAAACTCAGCATGTGAAATCAAAAGTTACGTATTTGGTAAAAAAAGTCGACTGATAAGCGTGATACACCAAAAAATGGGGTCACCAAACGGGCTCAATTATACTAAATTGATTTTGAGTGCACTTAATAGCTAAATAGAACTTTCCAAAAAGATGATGATACGGAGTATGAGTATGTAGTATTGTAGTATACTGGCGTTTTTAGAACGGTGTGTTTTCCGTCCATATTCAAACATGGAAGTACTCTACATCTATGCTTCTTTCATATAATCAATTCATGACAAATGCAGCCATCCATGCTTGGGGATAGAGTAATTAATTCTTTTGGTTTTGATGTAATTGATAAGTGGAAAGGAAATAACTAATCCGTTGTCAAAACATTGCATCACGTTTAATCAAAATCATTTAACATAGAACATTGTTTTACATTATAATATTTGCAAATTGAACTTTTTAAACTTTAAAATTCACCCAACACCTAAACTTTAACTAGTTGTATATCCACATAAATTCAGATAGCCAATGGGCCTAACATCATAATTCATTATTAAAATCTAGGGAAAAATAATTTAAATACTCTAAACTTAAAGAGTGTGAGGTAAGTACTACAAACTTGTGTAAGTAAATTTATGATGTTAAGTAAATAATTTAAAATATTTTTGTATTTGTGAGGATATAATTAACATTCTAAACTTCCATTGTGAAATAAGTGATATTATCCACGACTTTCATTATTAACATATTTGAATGACTTCTACGTTATTCACACACTCTATTTTGACTTCTATTTTGCGAAATAATTTGATATATTGACTTTAAGCGTAAGCATTCTTAGAATACCCCCTGGTTCTATTCACACACGTTATTCACACACTCTATTTTGACTTTTACGTTATTAACATATTTAAGTGATATATTGTCTCGGTGTGTATATGTAATTCCAACACTCTTAATTTGATATTTTCCAATAAACACGACTTTGGCTATTAGCGTTGACTATTACTATTCATAAAGTTAAAGATTTTGAAAAGTCATATTTTAAAATTTTTATCCGAGACAAATAGTATAATGTTTTACATAAGAAAATTGTTTAATACATCAATTACTTTTATAATGTTAAATTTATATAAATTACTTATTAAACACGATCGAGGAATGAAAATTCAAATGATCATGATGATGGATAGCGTACCCGGGGGTAGCTTATCCGATAGGTTATTGCGAAGAATAACTAGAGAGAAGTCAGAGCAACAAGTAAGAGAGAGAGTCAAAATGTATTAAATGAACTCGATGTGTTCTTTACAAGGTGAATAAGGGCTGCTATTTATAGCAGCTATAAATGCGATGAGAGTACACGTGTCAACAATCTAACGGCCGAGGGGTCACCTCAATCGGGGTGGCACCGACATATGCATGTGCACCGCATTAAATGCGGTGGGTGGATGTGACGCCGTATTAAATGCGGTGGTTGGCTGTCTCTAAAAGGAATCTTCGTTGATAGTTCTGTTGCTGAAGGCATCATGTGGCCGAAGGCATTGTGTGGCCGAAGGCATCATGTGGCCGAAGGCATCGGGTGGCCGAAGGCATCGTGTGGCCGAAGGCATCGGGTGGCCGAAGGCTAACATTTTAGCCAGGATTTTCCAGAAGCTTTGCAGGACCATATTAAGATTTCTCCCAGAATTTGGAGCCCTCGGCCATAGGATCGAAGGCATCCACGTGTGCATCTTGGGCTTCTTCATGCTTGGATCGCTACGTTTGGGCTTTGTGTGCTCATCGGGCTTGATGGGCCTGTGTAGAAGAAGCAGGAGTCCGTGGGCCGGGGTGTCCCGGACAATATACTCCATCACGAGTCCCCCATTCCTTTTGCCGAGAGTTTCTCGAGGGAAATAGGAGTAGTGTCTTGAAGATGCCGATGGCTCCATTTCTACAATTGAAGAATAAGAATTTTCAAGTATCTTGCCTCAGCTTGCTGTAGCTGAGAAATAGAAATTGTTTAACATTTGCGTGTTTTGCCGAGGGGAGTCCCCCAGTCCCCCACTCCTTTTGTTGAGAGTTAATCGAGGGAAACAGGAGTAGAGTGATGCATACCTTCAGCAGGAGCCGCCGAGGGGTGACACTTTTTGTTCCACAATGGGGAGATGCCTCATTAAAAACCTCATTAGGAAAAAACCCTGTGGGAAAAAATCCTAATGAGGGAAAAAGAGTACACCAGATGCTCCCAGAATGAAGCAAAAGGAATGCACCCTTCGCCCTAGATTGTTGAGCGGTGGTTGTGTCCGTCCGCTGAGGGGATATCCAAGACCAGCCTTATATCCTGCATGAAAAGGCTGAGGAGCCTGTAAGGACCCCCCGTTATCAAATAAAGGTGACGGAGGGGTGCAAGGCCAGGTGGGCCTGTGTGAGAGCCCCCGACATCAAATACAGATGCCGGAGAGATGGACGCCGAGGGGCATGTATGATAGCCCCTGGCATCAAATAATGATGCCGGAGGGATGAAGGTAAAGGGGCCTGTGTGATGGCCCCGACATCAAATAAAGATGCCGGAGGGATGAACGCCGATGGTCCTGTATGATAGCCCCTGACATTAAATAAAGATGTCGGAGGGATGAAGGCTGAGGGCCTGTATAATAGCCCTGTCATCAAATAAAGATGCAGGAGGGGCGAAGGTCGAGGGGCCTGTGTGATGGCCCCCGACATCAAATAAAGATGTCGGAGGGATGAAGGCCGAGGGGCCTATATGATGGCCCCTGGCATCAAATAAAGATGCCGAAGGGATGAAGGCCGAGGGCCTGTATGATAGCCTGACATCAAATAAAGATGCGGGAGGGATGAAGGCCGAGGGGCCTGTATGATGGCCCCGACATCAAATAAAGATGTCAGAGGGATGAAAGTCGAGGGACCTGTGTGATAGCCCCTGGCATCAAATAAAGATGCCGGAGGGGCGAAGGCCGAGGGGCCTGCATGATGGCCCCTGACATCAAATATTTGATGTCGGAGAGATGTAAGGCCGAGGGCCGTTGTGATGCGGAATCATGCTGAGGCCAAGGGTCGTTGGTGATGTAGAATCACGTTTAGGTCGAGGGCCGTTTGTGATGTAGAGTCACGCTGAGACCGAGGGCCGTTCATGATGTGAAATCACGCTAAGGCCAAAACCGTTATGACGTAGAGTCATGCTGAGGCCGAGGGCCGTTATGATGTTGAGGCCGAGGGCCGTTGTGATGTGGAGTCACGCTGAGGCCGAGGGCCGTTGGTGATGTAGAATCACGTTGAGGTCGAGGGCCGTTTGTGATGTAGAGTCTTGCTGAGGCCGAGGGCCGTTGTGATGTGGAATCACGCTAAGACCGAGGGTCGTTAGTGATGTAGAATCACGTTGAGGCCGAGGGCTGTTCGTGATGTATAATCAGGTTGAGGCCGAGGGCCGTTTTGTGATGTAGACTCATGTTGAGGTCGAGGGCCGTTCCTTGATAGTTCCGGGAGGCCGCATGTTAGTCCTCCGCGTGTATGTTCCTTCTTTCAGGCTTCGGCCGAGGGGGTTGCTTCCCCGCCTCGGCCGAAAGGGGGTCCAAGTGATCCATCCGGGGGTGCGTCTATTAGTCCCCCGATGCTGGGCCGTCCCTTGATTGTGTCAGGAGGTCGTATGTTAGTCCTCCTGATGTGTGTTCCTTCTTTCAGGCTTCGGCCGAGGGGTTGCTTCCCCGCCTCGCCCGGAACA